TCCACACGCTGCCGGCAGACCATCGCAGTTGACTGCCGTGTCGACTGGTCTGCAGGAAGCGTATGGGCAAATCCTCGCCCTTCTCTCTCTTTCCCATTCCCCCTCTTTCTTTTACATTACCAGCGCAATAAATGATAGCCTGACTGCCCTCAGGTTTCAAGTTATCTCTGTTGTCTATCCAGTGAGAGAGGAGGAGGAGGAGGAGGAGGAGGAGGAGGAGGAGGAGGATGAGGATGAGGAAAAGAGAGAAACAAGGAGAAGAAGATCCTGTCCTGCTAAGAAGGTAGCCCCTCTCAAGGCATCTCGCCCAGCAGTTATCCTTTTCAAACAGAGAGGGGGAAAGGAGCAAGGGAAGGAAAGAAGGAACACAACAGGAGATCCTGCTGTCGAGGCAGCTCCTGTCATGGCAATCCGGCCCAAAATCAAGGCCATCAGCCTGTATACACGAAGTCTCAGCGGCTCAGAAGATTCGTATCCAATAACTTAAGAAAGTCATTGATTCCCTTGAAGTTTCTTTGCATCATTAATCTACACCAAAAGTGCTTCCTTTCCTTCTATTCTGTATATAGCGAAGACTGCGCCTGCGCGTGCGCCTCTGGAGTGTCGAGGCAGGTGCTGCTGGAGGCTCCCCGCCCCTTCTTCCTCCGGCGAAGACTTAGCAAACTTTTTCTTCTGCTTTTTTCTCTCTCCTCAAGCCATCACTCTCTTTTCTACTTCAAATAGACTGTTGGGCTGGCTGCTACCTGAGCAGGATTCGTAATGGAAGGGAGGGAAAGGAACGGGGACCGAGGGAGCCGCCAGAATGGGCTTTACTCTACAGGTAGATCTCTTCTCTATCTCCATACAGTTAGCTACCTGTAGTCGACAGGGTTCAGACGAAATAGGTAATAGAGACATCTCACATCAACTTGCTCACCTGTCCGACCATCGGCCTGCCTGGTCCATGACCTTTTGCCCTCCCTTGAAGTCCCTATCAGGGACGTTGTTGGACCGACTGCTGGTATAAAAGGAGGTGCTATGAGCCAGGAAATTGTGAAATGGCAAATGGGAGGAGCAAGCCGGGCTGGTCTCCTGGAGCAAGAGAGACATTGACCTTCTCCCTCTTCTGGTGAGATGTGTTTGGCTAGATACAGAGAATCATCACATCGTAACATGAACAGAGTGATTCACCGTTTTTTAGTGTGACGATCACACCTGAGAGAGTAACGAAAATGAGGCCTACGTCGTTACTGAACCCTTCAACTGTCCAGTGAGTGGTTCATGTGTCATTGGACTATCTACAGCACGACAATAGAGGAGCAATAGCGCCATTCACAGCAGCAAACAAGCTTGAACGAGGATGAAGTGACAAGACAAAGATGCCACGGTGTAGACAAATCGTGAATTTTGGTAGAAAAAGACATGATTCTCGTGATTCTGATAGGCAGAACGGTGGGAAATAGACGGATCGTAACGATTCTGGTGTCTGATATTGTCTGGAATATGATCTGACCCTCTCAATGTGGGTCTAGATCGTGAATACAACAGCCCTGACGCGTCTACCTCATGTGATTTTACCCATCTTTTCTTCCAGCCTTCTCTCACCTCACACTCTCCTCCTCTCCAGTAAGTTTTCTGTCTATCTCTCACTCTTGTTGACACCTTGGACGCTGATGAACAGTCTATCAGTGTTGTTTTCCTGTTTCCTGCTCTGACAGAGTCTTCCTCCTTCATGAAAATCAATATCAACCTCATACAAGATGGCTGAACCCAGTGTTGCCAGTCGATCTAACACTCCACTTGACAAAGAGACCAATGACACCAATGACACCAACAATGGAATCATCAGAGACATGTCTCCTCCTTCCCTGGTCGGTTTGGTGATTGGTGGTAGTCCTCCCCGCAATCGAGATTCAGGATTCACTCTGGACGAGTTTTTGGAACGACACGGAGAGGAATTGGCAGCTTCGGTTGAGCGTGATGACAGAATCTATCCTGACGTCTTCATGCCCATCCCCATCTATCCTATCCATCTGTCTCCTGAACAACTCAGAGAGTAAGTCTTCATGTCCAAAGCCCCCTCAGTTGACATCACTCAGCCTGATCTGACGCCGAGACTGACTGACCCGCTTCTATTTGTATAGCCTTCTCAACGGACCCACCATCAGCATTCTGTTCAGACCTTCAGCTCACGAGTTTGCCTACTTGTTGTGTGCCCATTTCCCCAAGAAAGTGGCCATCGTCTTCTGTCAGCAATGGCGTGACCAGCTGCCACCGATCCCAAACAATGACAGAGCCATGAGGCAGATGTCATTGAGAGACATGGAATGGAATATGCCTGAGCGTGTCATTGTCACTGGCGGTTGTCCCGAGACATACTTGAAAATGCTTGAATGGATGTATCAATGCTGCCTGCGTGGCCTTATTGTCGATCCTGTCATTGGGTATGGAATCGGCTCATTCTTCCAGAACTACCTCATGCACTGCAATGCCACAATCATCGGCTGTGATTACCTTGCCCAGGTGTCTGACCATCGTATGTTTATCATTGGACAGGCACAGATCCATACAGACGACATTGAGTGTATCTGGTACTACGCCCCTCAGGACATTCCGATGAAGCGATTCCTTGTTCGGCATATTGCATGGCGTATCCTGCAAGGCACTCTGAGAGGCATGGGCCACTACTGGGCATTGAGACGTCGCCTACCAGACTTTGATCAAGCCATCAATGATCAGATCCACGCCTGGCGTGTGAATAGGGAGAGAGAGGATAGGGCTGAGATGGAAACTCGAGCTGCTGGTATGCCTCCTCGAGAAATCCATGTCCCCCGCCGCGCCCAGTCTCAACCCCTACTGTCCCGCTCAGAGCCTGTCGGCAGCAATGACCATCAAGAGGAGGAAATGGCAAGAGATGGAAATAACGGAGATGATCAAGATCAAGATCAAGCCCAAGATAACATCATCCACGCTCCCGTCGCCCATCATCCAGCAGGTGGTGGCAATACCTGGGTAAGAGTGGATTTGGCCGATCTGGGTGTCACTCGACAGTCCTTCAGCGGCAGTGTGTGAAATGATACAGACACACATCCAAACCAGACACTGATACTTGGAGAGTGTCATGAGAGCTGGAGCTATGGCGTATGATGGTCAATCAATCAATTGAATGGATTCAAAGCGAAGATACCCCCCAAAGGGCGCAGGCTGGGCATGTTGCGTCAATGTCGACGATAAGAGCTGAATTTTTTGCATGGATGGGCATTGGAGACGATGCTTCATATGGCGAATGGTGCTTGGACTTCTTTCTTGTCCTTTTTGCTTACCTTTTCTTGCTTTTCGATGCTCAAAGCCAAAGCAAAGGAAACGACAGTGATGAATTGAGACACAGCATGACACATACCTCCATCATGGACAAGTATGTGGCTAGAGCTTCTTGAACAGATGATGGATGACAGCAGACAATGAGGCTTGGAGCCATGTCAAATGCATGAAAGAGCTCCCAGTATGGAAATCAAGTTGCAACAGAGGTTCAAGCATGGTGTACGATGCACCCAACACAGTGTAACTTGAATAGGGCTAAAGAATCACATCATGAATGGAAGCAGATGAAGTTTCTTCTTGAATTTCTTTGACTCCCAGAGTATAGTATGCCGTAATGTGTGAAAAGAAGGGGGGTGGATGTGACAAAGCATGCAAAACTTCAACCAAAGTCCATCCATCCATCCCTATTCTTCTGCATGACTCCGCCTTAGATATTGCTAGTACGAGGCCTAAAAATAGCTGAAACGAACCATGGCTTTAGGGGAAAGGTTTAACTGGACAACGAGGTTAAAGGCTTGGAATAGCCGAGGTGGTTGAAGGTTGAATAGCCCCATCGCTTAGAATTCCGTCATTAGCATCACCCCAGATCTCATTTACGAGTAGAATGTAGGACTTTTGCATAATTACAGGCACCAAAGGCAGCATCTTCGACCTACTTAATTACGGAACGCGAACGCCACAAATGACGCCCGTAGCTTAGCCATTGAGTCCCCCTATTAGGTGGGTTTGGCGCGGATTATCAGGTGAGGGGAGGGGAGTTTAGGCATTGATTGGGATACAATATGGGGACTAAGTACTCCGTATACGGGCATCGAGGGGAGAGGCTTGACTCGCGTGTGGCTTGGCGAGAGGACGGCTCGCTACCTTCGCTGGACATTTCCACGTCGTATCGTGTTCTTTTCTATGCTAACATCAATGCCGTCGCAACTACGGACTGTGAGTTATCGAAGATCGACAGCGACCAGCGGTTCCAAGGAACGGATGAAGAGCGCTCCTAAGATCTTGGTCGAGTTGAAGAGAGCTCTTAGAACTGACTTGGATCACAGGTATTCGCACTATGTAGCATTGAAAGGAATCAAGACCAAAGCATCCCTCACGCCTGAACCTAAACTGTTGATTCGACAGAGAATCAAGGAAGACTATGATTATTCAATGGCGAAGCATGTCATGATCTATCTGGACACTTTCCACCACCGCGGGGCTCGAGGACAGGATCTACGACCTAATCATTTGCTATGGGGATCTATGGCAAAGGGCATTCTAAAGCATGCATTGATTGGACTGGCCTTCCTCCACAAGAATGACATCATTCATGGCGATTTGTGGCCTGGAAATACACTCCCTGCTACCTCCAACACCGATTCTCTGCCTGAAGATGACTTGCAGCAAGTCCTATGAGGCACGGACCACTGCTCAAAGCATACTTTATTATGAGCCGTCACAAAGACCGTCAGAGGTCCAACTTGTGGAGCGCCCATGGTTTCGTTCTATAAGCTAGGTGTCTATGGCAATATGAGGGTTTTCATCAGTAATAACAAGGAAACGAGACTCGCAGTCTCATTTATATACACTGAGGGTGAGGGTAGATGTATAGAGAATGGTTGAATGCTGGTATGGGACTTGGCACGGGCCGACGGGCCTGGTTAGGGATGAATTCAACCGTGGGAAGGCCCGAAGGCCCCTGGGGGCATTAGTGGCATAAGTTTGCCGTCCCTGTCAAGTCAAGGTTCTGGGCATTGAAAATCCCCTGAACTAAGATGAATTAATGAATTAAAAAGAAAGCTGGAAAACTAATGAAATCCGTTCTTAATGACAAGCAAGACAAGCCTAATTGCTAGCCTTTTCCCCATTGATTTCTCCCTCAGAAACCCTGAACAAACCCATTCAGACCCATCGATACTGACACTGTGTTGCTTTATATAGGCCACGGTTCAGTTCATCAATTTCAGCGATCAAAGCTCCCCAACGTGGTTCCCTGTCATTAACGTCACTCACGCGTCATCACACGCCATTCTTCACTCTATCCCGGCCCGTCAATTCATCCCATCACCTGTACCACGCCTCTACCACGCGTTTCTTGTCTTATCTGGCACGTCTGGTAGTCCATGAGTCGCTGATCCCTGGATCTCGACCCCTGCTCCCAAGCCGGCGATCAGTTCCCGCTCCCAGAACCATTTCCTCCACTCTACGCTAACCTCAACCTCGCTGACCCTGGCAAACTTTTAATCCCTGGCCTTGATTCTTCGCATTCCAACGACAACTTTAGAATCTTCACAACTCGTAATTCATCAACGATTACCTGGGGCATCAATTCCATCAGTGTTGGAATTGCCTTGTCACTCTACAAACAACGACTCATTCATCACATTCACCTCTACCACCAAACGACGCGACTCACAGTCCCCCGACACATCACATCTTTCCAGAAATGTGATGTCCCTATCCTTCTCCATCTCGTCTAAACCCAACAACCCCCGAATCAGCATGAGAAGCATAAGCGAGCCATAGAAACAGCCACTCACTCATTTGTACTATATGCAACCTTTGCCACTCTCAAATTCCATCTTGCAAGTTTTTCATCCGCCAAATTCCTGCCATCAATTGGCCTCCCGGATCATGTCATTGTAATTCAATCATCAACCCTACGACAATTCATTCTCCTTTGTTCATCCCCGAACAAGGCCAACCTGGCAAGCTTGGATCCACCCTTGAGCATGGCCTCCACAGAAATCCCCCAGCCATTGGCTGACTATTTCTGGATTGCAGGCCTCGACAGCCAGCAATTGTCCGATGCATACTCCCAACAGCGTTGGTCATACGAGCCTCGTGACATTTCTAATGGCGTCGACACCTCAATTCAGGAAGAGACTACCCCAGACAACGACTCATCCTCCGTAATAAAGTCATCACCTGGAACCAGCAAACACTCACGTCATGACTCTTATCAACGCCTCTCTCAACTTTCTGATGAAGCCAGGTTCAGCATTCAGAGTCTAGATGAGTTGACTCGACCCCAAAGCAGCCGGAGCAGTATCACCATACGCCCCACGAACGAATCAAACCTTCCCAGAAGCTCCAGTGGTTTCACCGAGCTCGACTTTGATAATGCCATCCAAAAATTCACCAATGACCGTGACGCCTTCTTCCTCGACCTCACTTTTGCCGCTCCCTCTGAACCACAGAAACCGCAGAAACCACCACAGAAACCACACAAACATACTCCTTCCAGATCCAGGCCACAGACCCAAGTCATCGTGGCTTCAGACGACCCAGGTCTATCGCCCAACCGCAATTTCGGGAGCATTCGTCGACATTTGTCCTTCAAGGATATGGCGAGTACCAAACGACAGCCATCAGTCGCCCGCCATCTCTCTGTACGAACCTCTCGCAGAATGAGCAGTTACAATTCTGTCATCCCGGATCCATCTCCTTTCAAAGCTTCTCCCGATAAGCATCCACTAGCTCGGAAATTTGAGCCTGTCTTACTGGAAAGATATCCTAGACCAACTACTGTCGACAGGTTTCCTTCTCGAGTGCCTTTTCCAGACTATGTCCCCATGTTTGCATTTCCAGGTGATATCAAAATTCAATCTTCCGACACGAGGCCGCGGACCACCTGGCACCAGTTCTCCATGACTGCTTCCGACAATTCAAGGCTGTTCGGGGTTCAAGTCACAGTATGGATCCCTGTCAGCCCAGAGATCGCCCTCGATATAGAGCGAAAATGTCAAGAGTGGCAGAAAGACCATATGTCCGACGCCGAACGAGAAATGGCAGCTTCTCTTGCAGATCGTCTTGCACTCGAAAGTGCTAAACTATCCAGACTTCTCGTCCAGCTTCCTCAATTGCCTGATGGTTCTCACGCGAGAGAGGAACTAGAAGAGGAGATCAGTGCCGTCGAGGAAAAGATTGGTGTCATGTCCGAGATGTTGAGACCTCTCCGCCATGGATCCAATCAGGCGATTCCGGGCCTCGCCACAGGAGACACCAAGTTCTGGATCCCTCGAGCTTATGGCATCATCGGTCGAGACGGCGCTATGCTCAACTTCTGGAGACAATGGCTACGTGCTGTGGTCGTCCCAATGATGGATGGTTCTGTCCTTCGTATACCTCCAAGCTCTCCCAAGACAGGAATGTGGCAGCCTTTGGAACGTTATGTCGCAACTCTATGTCTAGAAGCTCCAGCTCCCATTTCATCCAAGACTCAGGTTCAGGTCTCTGTCCGCGAACTGCACATCTTTGCGAAAAAGGAAGCCATCAATGAATTGCCTGGTAGCAGAACGACTGATTTATACCCGCTCTTCAGAACACTGACTATTCCCAACATTGTCCTATTATTCGAATACGTTCTGGCAGAATCTAGAATTGTACTGCTGTCTAGCCACACTTCCATGCTTCAGATGGTTAGCCGGGCCATTCTGGACTTGATCTGGCCGCTGGAGTGGACTGGGGTCTATATCCCCGTTCTCCCCGCAAGATTGGTTGGAGCTCTGGACGCACCATGCCCATACATTTGCGGAATTGACCGAAAGTACGACAAGCACGACCTTCCAGACGACGATTATGTGTTAGTCGATCTGGATAAGAATGAGTTGTTGAGCTTTGCCGCACCGCCTCTACTGCCGAAGCAACAAAGACGGAAACTGATGTCTCTCCTCCATCAAGCCGCACCCCTGCACCACAGCTTTGGAGTGGTCCCTGGTCCTCCCGCTTATGCCGTGGAAACATTCCCATTCGATACCTTTGCCGCCGAGAACGAGTCGGTATTTACAGCCATCACCAAATCGACTAATCTATCTAAACTCGCTAGTCTCAGCTCCACGGCATTCGGCCCACAGGCCTCCGCAGACACCATTCGTCGTGCACCCATGTTCAACGTGTTCCTCTCTGGAGCGGTCACACGCGGTAAAAGTAACGATGGCCGACCACAGACATCCTCGACCATCCGTCAATCCAGCCAGACGGGCTCCGACGGCCAGTCACCAATCATGGGTAGTTTCGCGCTTCCATCAAGCTCAGCCATGTCACGAAACGACTCGGGCTATGCTCTTCAGACGTCATTACGAGAAAAGAGATCAGGCCACTTCGATTCTATTTCGAAACGCAGTTTCTCAGGACCACAAACCATGATGCGCAAGGCTAGTATCCCATTCATCAAGCACAATGCCACTCCATCGAATGCATCCTTGTCCGACATGCGTAATGGCTCAACGTACGCGGGATCGGTATATGCGCAGTCCACACTAGCGGCATCGACCATCATGCCTGGAATGGCAGTCCACCCGGCGACCGCCTCTCCCGGTAGCCATTGGGTCGAAGGCCACTGTCTGGAATGGAAAGTCGGCCAAGGTCCGTCAACGTGTGTGTTATGCGATGAGAAAGCACAGGACGATTACTACCGATGCGGTGGATGTGGGTTCGTGGTTCACGACCGATGTGCCGCTCAAATCACCATCGTATGCTCAGCCGCCTTCTTCCCAGACCAGATCCGCGCCGCCTTTGTACGTTGTTTAGCCAGTCTCTTCTACACGTATCGACGATTCATGCAACCAATGACGCAGACATCTTCATCCACACCGCGTGGCAAGAAACCTGCTGCTGCCGCCAACAAATCCCTCTATCGATTCGATCGCGACGGCTTTATCAAGTCCCTCCCCGCCGACCACGCCGAATACATGGACATGCTGCACCAGACACAAGCGTGGAACGAATTCATCATGGACCGAGAAGAGAACCCACCTACCACGCCGTCAATTGCTCTGTTCGACGCCATCATTACTGCCAAACGTGGCCGTGCTGGTCTACTCCGTTCCTCTTTACCGGGTATTGGCCTCGGCCGCAAGAGTTTTGCTTCTCGCTCCGTCTCAGCGGCAGGTCTTGGCGGTGGTCGTCCTGATATTCTATCTGATACATCAACTCATCAGTGGCGGATTATCAATGTTCCCGGCAGTTCGGAACGTTTAGATCTGGGAGCTGCTGCTAAAGGTCGTGATTATCGCGATATTGTCACCAGAACACCAGCCAAACTCGAGGAGGGTCTTTTCAAACAAAAGGAAAAGGTGCCGGAGATTCCGACCTCCAATAACAACACCCCCAGAAACCCACGGCTTAGCTCGTTGAATGCCAGATTCAATGGGCTGGGCATGAATGCGCCGTAGCGTGTCAAGTCTTTGATGAAAATGTCAGATTAAACTAGAGGATACAGTCAACGGTTAACAGTCGACGACCTGCTCATCATAATCACTATCATCGGATGCCTGGTCTACAACACTGTATTCTATCAAGTATGTGCTTGGCTTTCATCCATCCAGCCATCAATCAATCAACCTCTCCGGCGTGTCAAGAGGTTACCCGTGCTCAAAGATCCCTTCTCACCCATAGACGTCCTCCACTGAATGGCCAACTGACCCAGAACAGCTCTCCCATCTCTCCTCAAACTGGCTTTCAGCTCTTCCAAACCATTGGTCTCTCCCTGAACCTGCTGCACCACAAAAGCGACCTGCATGACATCTCGTGGATTCAGGATCGGGTTGTCAACGTCTGCTCCCTCATGCTGCTCAGCATCCCAATTCAACGAGGTGGATTTGAACGGCGATTTCGTCTGCAGTTTTGCGTCTTCCAAGACAATCGTCGAGTCCGACACATTTTCGAGCTGCGCCTCCAGAGCATACCTCAACAACGGCAGTCTTCCATACGGACCATGCGACTTGTCGGGAACCTCCCGCGGTGCCAACTCAGTGGCTTTGGTGCGCACACTGATACACGGCTGGGCCAGGAACTGGTATAATTTCCGAAACGAACGAGCTCGTCCACTTGTCGCCGATCCATCACCACTCGTCGTCTCGGTGTATGACAGATTGACCGCCAAGACATGGTTGCCTTCCTCCTTGAGATCATACCGGATAATCCGCTGCAGACTCTCACCAGGCATCGTTTCCTCCGAGAAATCCAGCCCATCAGCCGCTTCCAACTCCAACGGAACCGATTGAGTAGGCGTCTGCATCTCAGCTAGGATTTTTGTCCCCGTGGCTGTCTTGGTTGTGGTCGATCCAGGGATCAATTCATTGTTCGCGCATAACGCACAAGAAAATGTTTCTCCGACGTGAGCGGAGCCAAATGAAGGCGGTAATGAGAGATTGTTAGATAATGCAAACTCAGGATCCGAGGTTTCGGATGGATATGCTAGTGATGCGGTGTGGGGGATCCGGATGTCGCTGTCGCGCGGTAATGCATGCTGTTGAACCAGCGATGGCCGCGATAGTCTATTTGTAGTATAATGTATGTCAAATTAATTTCTATTTTCATTCATATCATGTGTGCATGTGTGTAGAGATGATGGATGGATAAGGAGTTGGTGGAATGGTTGATGGGGGGAACTCCTTACCTCAGGACTAAGGAGTCATTGTCAGCGTCAGCAGATCACTGAGGGAGAATAATCATGGATAAAGGAGCTATCAAGAGAAGGGAGAGGATGTCTAGGACTCCCAGTGCATACCTTTCAAAGAAACAGAATGCGGTTCCTTTGGATAGTTCCCCGTATCGGCTCGAGGTCGGGCCATCTCATGGATGATAACAACAACAATAAATAACCTCGTATGAGAAAGCAAAGCCGGCTGCTAGGTAAGCTCTGATTCTCAACAACAAAGTCACCACTCAAGACATGTCACATCGATTTAGCGTAGACTCTGTTAACAGTTCAATATCTGATTCCTCTGTTGCTGGTCGAGGTAGTTCGGTATGTCGTTGTCCTTTCGTTGAACTCAAACCCGATGTTTCCCAAACGTTCTTGGCATTAAATATATTGTCACGTGGAAATTTCATCGACTTCTAACATATGATTTCGGGTACATACACACCTACACTTTACATAGGTAGCTAGTAGCTAGCATGCACTAATCTCTTCAGAGATTTCTATGTCATCTGGAATAATTATATTCCCTGTGCGCTTGTCTCAAGCATTCCTAGCTCCTTCGTCATCTTCGACGCTTGGTTGATCATATTTGGATGAACATCCCGAACAGCGCATACATTCCACACGTGAGTGGATTCTGACTTCCAAAAGGTCTGTCTGCAACCATTGAAATGATAACTTGACGTTCCATCTCATGACGAGCATGTCTTGCATGCGTGCGAGATCTCCGATACAAAAATCCCGACTTGCAGGTGACTGTGCCACAGTTGATTGACAATATAGTGACCAACATTGATTCCATCAGCCGCCGCTGACTGTCGGCTTCTGAGTTTCTTCAGTCGAGGTGGGATTATCGCCGTTCTTGTCGTTAAGCTGATCCTGTACACCCGGGAGCTGTCGCATCATCCTATGGTTTTCTGGTTCCTCGGGACCTTTCTTCTTTAATCGACGAACATCCCCTTTGAACAAAGCTAGAAGATAGAACCCTTCAAGGACGTCTACCGCAGATGAGGTCGATTCAACTTCATCGACGTCCACACCGCCTGCATGTCGCGTACATAATCCATCTGGACGTGGTGGCTTGGCGTCCTCTCCGTCGGCGGTGGTTTTCTTCTTGCGACTGGATATCCATACGTTCCCGAGAGCCAGGCTTGAGACGAGAGTCACTCCAACAATAGGCAGGATAGATATGAATGCCCACATGGTGGCGATGGAACCTTGGTTTCGCACCGCTTCCTGCTCCTCGGGAGATAGATTCGAAATGGCGTCCAAAGATGCCTTATCCTGCATATTCATCATCGAACCGGTGTTGACATTATCGGAACCAAAGTACTCGGACATTTGATTTTGATACACGGCGCCCATGATTGTCATTGCAATGGTCCCGCCAAAAGGTAGTGTGAAACGCAGTAAGCTGTACACGGCGGCAATCCTGTCCCGGAACATTCCTGCCAAGTGAAGGTTAGATGGCATAAAACGCATGCCGGTTCCAACACCAGCGATGGCCATCATGACATTCACTAGTGTGGTATTGCGATTTCTGACTGCGTATGCCAGGACGGACAACCCGGTCATCTCGATCAGAGTGCCGACTGATAATGGCCAGAATGTATGTCTCGGCCAGACATTGCAGAGGAAGATGGTTCCATAGACGCCGGCACCCAGACCAGGGATGTAGTACATCAACTGTAGACCAGCTCGCGAGGGTTCATAACCTTCCACCACGCTGAAGTAGATGCCGATGAAGTAAAACACCGAGAAGAGACCGGCACCGGAGCCAGCTTCTATCAAGCAGACGAGATTGACGTCTTTGGCTGAAAGAATGGAAGATGGAATCATGGGGAGCACTTTTGGGAAGCGACGGTTGAAAAATCTGGAGGGCGCTAGTAATGCTTCCCATATGATGAATGCGATGAGTGTGACTGTGCCCAATACGATGGGGGCAACCACCGCTGCTGAAGACCATGGATATGTTGAACCTCCCCAGGCAGTGCCGAGGATGACGAGTCCAACTCCAAATGTGAAAAGGAAGATGCCACCGAGATCAAGGGTGGACAGTCCTGAAAGTAATTCTTGTAACCTGCTATTGGAGTGCAAAGATTTCCGGAGAGAGAAGTTGCCAGGGACAAGATCGTTCCGGATGAAGAACAGTGTAACGAGACTGACGCCGGATAGCGAAGCCGACATGACGAAGACATAGCGCCAGCCACTGGTTGCAAGGTAGCCGCCGATTACAGGGCCGATGCCTAGGAAGGAATGTCAGACAACATGGAAGGGATGTTCAATGTCTTGAGAAACTCACTATAGCCCACACCGCCCAGTAGCTGAAAGACGCTCGTATTAATGGCTTGCTCTTTGAGTGTGACGCGGTCGGCCAGGATGATCATAGAGACATTATCCACTCCAGCTGCACCGACGCCTTGTAAGGACCTCCCAAGAAGCAAGACTGCCCATGTAGGCGCCACAGCGCACAGAACACTACCGAGTGCAACAATGGAGACAGAGAGTGTCATAGTGGCATAGCGGCCGAAAGTATCAGCCAGTTGTCCGAAAACAGGAATGAAAGCGGTGGCCGTCAGAGTCAAAGCGGCGACTATCCAATTCAATTGATTTAAATGATCTAAAGACTGTTAGTCAAGACCTGGCTGCTTTTGGAGCGGGATTGGTGATATCATACTGAAGTGCGAGGCAATCTGTGGTAAGGCCGTGGCGACGATGGTCAGGTCCAGACTGGTGTCTAGAAATGACGGGAGAAGACAGATCAAGATCTTCCATCGGTATTTTCTCCCTGCGGACTTTTCTTTGACACATGTTGGGCATTTCTGTTTCTGCCGTTTGGGGGGATTGGGAGACTGGGAAGATATCTGGCCGTCTTCATTGAGGGTTGAATCGCCCGCTGTGCCACGACGCCATCGATAATACTGCGACCGAAGATAGCGATATGAATATGTGATGATCATGCTTGGACACTGATCGTATGTCAAGGACTAGAATCACTTGCGGTAGAAAAGACATATACAAGTCAAGCCTTAAGGCGAGCATGGGCATATAAATCAATTAGTTGGAGCCTGGGAACTGATCGCCATGGGTAGATCAATGCCATCCACAAGGCTATCTCGCGGCTTGGACCGTATTAGAACATACCCCCGAGGAACGAACATAGAACAGATGATTGGATTGACAGTAAATAATCCAACGAGGCAGAATCCTAAATAAAAACCGACGTATTGAGGATCTCCTCCAGGGTTCATTCCGCCGTATTGATCCAATCTTGGCACACATCGTCATTACGGAGTACTGTACGGAGTAGAGGACTTTACGAATATTGTCTTGGTGGTGGAGAAATACTCGTGAAGTGCTCCTGAACAGGTATGGTGATGGTGGAGCGATCTGTTGAACAAGCATGGGTGGCTTTCTTGGAACCTGGAGAGACACAGACGACTTGTTGCGTCAGAGAGCAAGTCATGTGACGCCCAGGCTTGGATCTTTGCCCAGACAAGATATCTCGATCGACGTATTCGGACATGGAACTCCTGATACGAACTTGCTGGAGGGGCGATATTAGGAGTCAACCTTGGGGCTTAGTTCTGGCCATGAAGATCTGGTCATACGTTTGTAGGGAGTGAGGACCCTTTGATGAGTATCATTATGATTCTTTACCAGACTCGTGGAAGATACCCGATGCGGAAGTAAAGCGGGGCGGAGGTCAGCCTTGGCACAGGGGGGATTGTAGTCTAGGAACATGACGTTCTTTTTGTGTCTAGAATAATCCATCTATCAGAGAGACGAGGGCGAGGGATACCTCAGGATGATATCTCAAGTTGAATTCAGGATGCACAAAGCAGCATGTCCAGAGTGTTGTGGGGTATGGATTGACTGGTGATACAGATGAGCCTCCTTCACAGTATTGAAGTGGATTAGCCAGTGCAGAGTACCAGCACACCCCTAGGACACAGTATAGGGCACGACTTCATCTCTACTCCGGACCGATTCAGATCCTGGCCCCTTGTCGCACCACATGCGAGAAAGTATCCAAAACATAAGCGAGTTTCATTCACTGCTTGGTTAGGGGAAGTGAATATCAAGGCGGCATGACCCCAATCCCGAATAGGAAAGGTGTCTACGTGAATTGACTCCCGGGAAGGTGCGGTACGCCGTTGCCCGGCAGGAGCACCCCAAACAACAACGCGATTGCCCCAAACTCTCCCTCTCGCGTTCCCAAAGCGGCAACCAAGACTTCAGCTGCGCCAGGGACTTTTAATTCATACAAGTATCACTCACTCATTCAATTGTTTTGTCCTACTCAGCTTGCACTGCCATTTCTTTTATTCCCTCTGCAACTACCAACCTCCCTGCATATCAAACACAACACTGAATGTTTCATCTTTTCTGTCCATCATGCGTATGACACGAGCAGCCCTCCGAGCTCAAGCTCTCGACGATTCTTATCAGATTCACCAAGATGCCGACTCGTCAGACCTTGGACCCCAACCTGAAACCCCCAACAAGCAACCCAGCCAGGGGCTCCTTAACCGAACAGTGTTGAAGGATATCACTCAGGAAATCAATTCCACTGTTGACGACGTGTTTGCTCAAGAACCCCTCGCATCTGCAAAGAAGCCCCAGCCCACCGGTAACGAGACCCAACCGAATATTCCTCTTCAAGGTGTCACGCCTAAACTCCAGGAAGGGTCTGTTTCAGATTCGTCCGACTCTGCCCCCCAGGAAGCTCAATACACCGCGAACCAGACACCTCAACACGGTTCCTACATGACTTCCCAGGAAGATCTTCCTCAACCACCATCCACATTACCTCACCATAGCCCACGCATCAATCAACAACTGCCCGACATCACCAAGTCTCCACTGCCTCAACTGAGTACCAATCCTCCCAAGACGCCCAAGTTCGATCCCTCCATCCATTTAGCAAGAGAAGGGAACGAAGCAACACCGACACAGCCTGGGGAGGATTCATTCATTGACAACATCAAGTCCAGATCCCCATCGAAAATGCATGCCTGTCCAGGAGATTCCATACACTCTCCAGACTCATTCTCCGATCACATGAACCCAAGAACACCTCGAATTGAGGATTCGGTCGAGGCAATCGATGCTCTGGAGGAAGCTATCGAAAAGATCTCCGAAGGCCTTCCTGTCCTGGACAATCTCAACATTCAATCACCTATCAAGTCGGCTAAAAAGGCCCCGTCGCGCGTTGGGCTTGAGAACAAGGCAAAGGCGCCTGCATCTGTGAGAAGATCAGCCAAACCCCCTGGCACCCTAGCAAAGAGTTCCCCAGCCAAACCATCGACAACGAAGTCTACCACGGTTCGGAGCAGACCAAGTATTGCCCAGTCAGCTGTTGGAAAGCAGGTCGCAAAGCCACCAACGGTCGCTAGGCAATCCAAGAAGCCGGTCGTGGATGGGCAATCGCGCTCTAGCTCAACCACACTGAATCCACCGCCTTCCTTGTCCTTTTCCAACTCACCAGCCAAGGCATTACCCAACACAACTAAGAAGCGTGTTCCCAGCACAAGTCTCTCGACCAGCAAACCTGGCTTCGTCCCAGCGCGGTCGAGCAAGGCACCAACAACATCTACATTCTCGCTGCCAGGAGAAGCCATCTCGGCAAAAGTGAGGGCACAACGAGAGGAACGACTGAGGCGCGAAGAGGAAGAGCTCAAGGCCAAGAAACTGTTCAAGGCAAGGCCACTTCCTACAAAAGCCGCCGAACCAACCGTTAAGCCTCGAGCAAATAAGGCGAGCCAAGCACGTTTGAGCATTTACGCCGGTGGTGTTAACAAGGAAAATGTTGAACCACAACGTCAAGCTGGACCAAGACCCCGTCCATCTTCGATGCTCATTTCCCGGCCCAAGCCAGAGGTGGCAAAGGCCAATTCCAGTGTTCGACGAACCATGAGTGTTATGGAGCGACCAATGAATTCCAAACCGCGAGTGTCCTCGGTCCAGCTAGCTGCCGGACAGAAACTGAGCGTGTCCAAGGAAGATGCCGTGCGCCAGAGAGCAAATGGCAAAGAGGTCTTTGCCCGTTCCAAGGTTGAAAAAGAGAGGCTGGAGAAGGAGAGGAAGGAGAAGGAGGAGGCAACTCGAAAGGCTCGAGCTGAGGCAGCGGAACGTGGTCGACAGGCCAGCCGTGAATGGGCCGAGAAGAAGAAGAAACGATTGACACTGCAGGCCAACACGAAACTCCACGAAGGGTCATCAACTGCGGTCTCCACCACCTCTTGAGTGGTGCTAACATCCGGCGGAGGGTTGTCGACGGATGGATTTGTACAGCGACGGAGTTGGGATATGACATGTGGAATTACCCGAGATACTGTGGATTGACATTGAGCGACGGCAACGGAGGAGCGGACAACGAGAACCATGCCTGGAGTCATTCCAATCTTCATTCATTCAATGCGAGCGAAACGTCTGTTGGGAATGACGACAATGACCGAGTAGCAGAATATGCTCAGATACAGAATGTATACATTGATCAAATATGGTATCCTGACCGAGAGATCGGGGTATACCACAATAGCGGGAAATGACGAAAGGCTGGATGCTGTTGTCTCTCTCAGCCCCCGTCGCCGTCCGGCCGTTGCACTGGTATCCTAACCAGCGGGACAGGCAAGGAGGGCAACTTTGAGTCTTTGGTATTCTTCTCGGACTGCTTGTTCTTGACTTTATTCTGATCAACTGTTTCGTCATCGTCTCGAGGTCCTTCTTCTTCCTGTCCAGGATCACTTGTGGCCGTGGGTTGAGGGACTTGGGCTAGAGAAGATTACGAGTTAGCAACATTGTCCGGGGCTAGCAGAAACGCGATCCCCAACAAATGACAAACCAAGAATGGACCAAACTCACAAGCAGCCATTCCGATCGCTCGAAGGACATTGTCCCAGTTCGCCAGGACCAGTGCTACACTCTGAGCGCCGTCTTTGAGCGTTGACAGTTTCGTCTCGAGTACAGACAGTTGCGAGGCAAGGGTTGCACTGGAATCGCGCAATGATTGTAGATGTGCCAGTTCCGCCCGTTTTTGAGAAATTCGTGCTTGGAGATGTGATGTGGATGCAGAAGTAGACGAGGAGCTTGAGCCTGGATTGTATGCGCTTGAAGAGCGGGCGCCGGGGCCGCCGTACGACATGGTGTTGGTTAGGGTTAGGGTGATGTCTGCGCAGGCCCAGAATATGTTGGACGGAAGTTGAGGAGAGGAGGGAGGGTGGGTGGCCGATGCCGCGGTCAAGGTGAGACCTGTCTGGTCATTGGAGGTACTCGTAACAGCAGTATAACTCTCTTGGTAGTATGAATCGTTGTCAGGGTATTGTAGTTATTCACTTCGCCATTCTACACTGCAAACTCGTGTGTCGTGTTCAGACGTGGTCAGTGATTATCGCGACTTCGCGTCCAAATCAGGTTTAGTGCGTTCCCGCCAAGGTCGACGCTAAACCTTCTTTAGTGATTTGTTGACACTCTTCTCCAACCTCCACATGATTCTTGTCATTGAGCTTTATGAGATACTCAGTAATTTTGGCACTTCAAATCATTCCGACTAGACCGATGCACTGCATGCTGAGAGTTCTTGAGACTCAAAAAGTGTATTTACGCCAACTTGCCTATCGAAAACCCCCCAGAACCGACCTTCCCAGACCTCCGCAGGGTATGATATCCAACCCTTGATACCAACCTGGTGGAATTGCGATGGCGAGATTGAATGATCCTCCGCCGCCGCCTGCGGAGAGTATTGAGTCATGTATGTACACAATTGTGTTTCCAGGCTATCTATCTTGGTTTTACGATACTGACAATCCTCCTAGTAAAACGACGCTTCATCCGCCAAAACCGCGAAATCGCACGTGTCAACTCAACCCAATCGCAACGGATCCGTAATTTGGAGTCCGAGATCTCCCGCCTCGTTGCAGAAAACATTTCTCTACGAGAACAAGTCATTGCAGCTCAGGCTGAAACACAAAGATGGAAGCGAGCAAACACCACCAACAGCCGAGATATTATTATAGACGTCAAAGACCGGTTGGAGAGGAAGCTAAAGGAAGTCTCAGACCTGATCAGTGAGATGGATGGGCTACCTGAAAAGATTTCACGGCGAGCTTCAAGGCGAAGAAGCGCATTGCCAGTTGTGGTCAAGAGCTTGAGCGAGGAGGAATACAAAAATCGAATAGCCATGAAAGAGGCTTTGGCAAAGGAGCGGCAAGATCCCGCTCTCGATGGTCGCTTACCGAGCATTCAAGAAGACAAGCTGTTCCCACGACGGACTTTGGAAACAGCAGAGATGATGGCTCTCCGAGACGAAGCCGCCCTTCAGGATTCAACAGAGTCTCCCGATCTTGGACCTCCTCCAGTCGCACATTTCGAAGTGCCAGACCCTGTCAAGTTCGAAGCGGATACCCGCAAATTATCCAGTGGCGACGACCAGGACGTCGTCCAATTACCATCGACACTTGAGAAAAGACGACGCAGAAGGACCAGCGCATTGTTACAAGATATGCCCAGAGAGACAGAGCAGTCGGCCCAACCGCCTGAATCACCAATAGGATTGCTTCTCAAAGCCGGTGCAAAACGGAAACTGGATGCGTCTGAATTGGAGGAACCTATTGTCAAATCATCATCCCCAGTGGCCGACGATTTTGTCTTTCAACGAAAACAAGATGCTGGATCAGGAAAGAAACCGTCCAGATTCACCCGTCCACCAGGCAAAGAGACCGAGAACACCAGCGCAGCAACCACAATCGCCTCACCTCGGAAAGTCCTCGAACCAAGAAAGATCCTCGCTCCAAAGAGCACGAACTCCCCAGCGAAACGAAAAGTCAGCACGAGTGAAAAGCCAATCAGTATCAAAAGCGACGCTGATTCTCATCCAATTCAACCATCCAAACCATCTACTACTCGCGTCGTCACCCGCATTTCCATCCCTCCATCTTCAACCATCGATCCAGAATCCAAGAATGGAGCAGACACCCATCCCCCCCAAACCCCTGCCCCTCTCCCTCTCCCTCTCCCTGAAGATCCACTCTCCCCCATCTCCACTGAACCCAGCGTACGCGCCACGCACAAAGAAGCCGCCATTCTCAATTCCGTCGAAGATGTCCTCAACGGAAGTATTGGCCGTGGCTCACGACGTGCACGAGCCGCTGTTAGCTATGCGGAACCGAATCTGCGCGATAAGATGAGGAGACCAGGGAGAGAACTTGTGGGTGCGGTGGAGGGGATTGAGAAGAAAGAGAAGGACAACCCCACCAATAGTGCTACGCACTCTCGTACAACTAGTCTGGAACGGGCGAGGTCTGGTTGTGAGACTCTTGATGGGCCAGTGGTTAAACAGGAGAAGAGAGATGCTGGTTCGGACACGAGATGGAGAAATTTGCCAGTATCGACGAACGACAACGGCAACGGTAACGGCAACGGCAATGAGGACCCTGCTAGTCCGTTGCGGGATAAAGAGAAGAAGGATCTGGCCAAAGATCGACTTGTGATTCCGAGCATCAAGGATGCGGCACTACCAGCACACGAAACATCAAAGCATGATCGGACAGATTATGGTGATGAATTGGAAAAAGCCGTTGATCGGCTGAGTATCTTTGATCCACCATCTTCGTCGCCTGTGGCGAAAGAAGAAGATGATGGTAATCTTGTCTCCAACTCAAAGACCGCGACGCCCTCAGCATCGGCTGCGCGGCGCAGAGTCCATTCTGGAACGTCAGGTGCCTCACTTAGCAGGCGCCATTCCATGCAACCAGCCTCATCTGCACCTGTCAATCATGCAACCAAGTCCGATTCGCATTCCGCCAGAGCTTTTAGCAGACCTGCTTCGGCGGCGAGTTTACGGGCCGAGGCGTCTGCTTCTAGAGGAACAGATGCAACCTCAACGTCAGGGAAAGAGTTGAAGCGGGCAGCTAGTGTTGCTTCGAATATCCGATCGACACCAGTGTCGAGAACTGGAGACCAAGCGGCAGCCACAGTACAGCCGGAATCTCGCGCCGAAAGACTGGCATCTCGACGGAAAAGTATGATGGTATAGTGTGTGGGGAACATGGTGTTCCCTTGGCTGACAGGCCGCTTCCATTTGGATATAATGACTCTGGGTACATTCATCTGCGTCCTTGGGTTTGGGACGAGAGATGATACATAGGCGTCAAGTCAGGTTTTGGTTGGATCTCGTAGACTTGAATACCCATCATTCGTATTGTCAGAGCGTTGAATCCGAAGTTGAAAGGTTGATAGACCGCGCATTGTGGGAGTCATTCGACATCAAAGCCTTTGCACCCATGTGGGCAAACCGTGTTTGGGGGTTGTCGGAGTTCTGGGACCTTTGAATAGCTGACACTATAATCAGCATTTCGGCTGAGCTGAACCCGCAAGTGTCGAAACATAGTAGCCATGTATTGTTGTGGCCAAATCTTCCTTCAACCCTTGTCATGTCCATTGACGCCATTCGCCTCTTTTGGAGAGTACTCAATACTCTTGGCCATACCCAAAACCACATCATCCAACTTCTTGACATACTCCCTCATTTCTTTCCTCTTAGCTTTCCTCCTTTCCTCCATCTCTCGCACCTTGACACTCAATTTCTCAATCTCTTCTCGCTGCTGATTCTCTCCTAGTCCTATGCCAGGCAATCTTGCAATCAGTAGTTCGATCTGCTGGGTCTTAAGCACCAGATCTTCTGCGAGTTCCTGCTGGGCGTTTTCAAAGGTGGATGGAGCCACGGGCCGGAGAGGATATGGTGCTCGATCAGTATCTTCTAAGCCTGGGGCAATAGTGTTGGTGTTGTCGTGTCCATCTTGAGTTGGTGGGTTTGTATAGGGATCATTTGGGTCGGGGATCGGATGGATCAGTGGGTGTCTTTGCGAGAGGTAGCTGAGAGTAGAAAAGAGTTGTGTGAGAAGTTGATCGTAGCAGGTCTGAAGCTGGGTCAAGATGTCGTTGGACATGATGACGTGGAGTTTTGAGATGCGATTAGAGGGAGGAGGAAGAAGAGAAAGAGAGGGAGGGAGAGGGAGAGAGGGAAGTTGTTGCGATGCCAGCAAGAGCCAAAGTAGGACTAGCCCAGCCTCGTGATATATCAAACCGCTCAACAAGGCTGAAGGTTAGTCAGCCACTCAGCCTGATTGGACTACGCAGCCTCGTGGCGGGGACTGCGGCCCTCATGTTCATGTCATCTCTTGTCTGCCTCAGATCTCAATAGATGGTAATCGAATCACAATCATTTACCAATTGTCTGCTCCACGCCACCGCCTTCGACTGCTTTATCCCTTCAGTGCTATTTCCCCATAGTGCACTTCCACTCACTCATCTTCTCTCACACCAACTCACGTCACCCCAGCCTTGCCTGCCACCCAAATGACTTTCCATCCATGAAGGCATGTTAATCATCCCCATCAACGACCCGGTCTCCTCGACTGTCCCTACCTTGGGGTTATTCTCATTTCACTAAACATCTCCTCACTCTCGCCGCTAGGCGACGCCTCTCTCCTCTACCCCAGCCGCGACGATGAATCAATCGTTCACCGGAAATTCTCGAAAACTCCGTCAAGTTAACCTCTCCGGTCGCAACACCTCCAACCCGTGGGCTGCTCTTTCTGGATCCAAATCTTCGGGTAGCCAGGATGCTGTTGCACAAGCACAGGCCGATCGTGTCAAGAGACAACAAGAGAGAGAAAAGTTGACCGCTTCTAAGAAACTCCAAAAATTATGGCGAGGGCACTCGAGTCGCAGACGGCAGAAGGGTCTCTGGAGAGATCTTTGGGACGAGGTGGAACAACACAGGTTGGGCCCACATCCTTCGCATACCTCGAGTGACAAATCATGGCTTCGAGGAAACTCATTACCCTATGAAGGATCTCGACAACTCGCAGATCAGATTCGATTATTGCTCGCCTTTCAGGAGTTTCGCGATCAGAGGCCGAGATTTGAAGATGATACTGCTCGCCTTGTCTATCTTGGGCAAGGTCTTCGACAGACTCTCACTCCTGCCTCGCAATCTAGTCTCGACACAGACATGGTGTCTTTGCTCACAAGGCTAGGCATTCTCACCGCGAGGCATCTGAGGAGCGTTACCCTTCCAAACAATGAAACCGCAGCAGAAGCTTATGGAACATCTCTGTTGAGTATCATCGTCCTGCTTTCTCAGCTGGTCCCGCAGAAGGTAGCTCTGGACGCTCGCATCTATTTCGAGGCTCTTCAACCTATAACCCATTCCCCGTACGGACTCTTCTGGCGAGACCAGCTGCAAGACACTATCGCTGCCTTGTTAACCTCCTCTCCAGCTTCAGCATCGGCTGTCTACACTGCCTTTACCATGACTATTCTCAGTCAAAACTCTTTTGCTGCATGTAAAGCTGTCCTTAAGAATTTGGCAGCTATCGTCAGTATCGACTCTTTGGCTAAAGCAATTGTCAATCAAGATTTCAGAATGGACAAGCAACGACCCTCGAATCTGTCCTCTGATCAACTATTATGGCAACTCGCCCATTTCGTCTATATGCATGACACCCAGAAACTGGACCATGATGCCCTGAATTCTTATGTCGAAGGATTGTCCGCACTTGTGGGACAGTGCGCGCAGGATATTGCTCAAAGGTTGGATCTTGTCGACTCTCCAATGTACGGCAGTGATGCGTCGACGCCAACCCCGCTTCCGCCTTTTGTCCGCGAGATTATCTCTACCATTCCTCAAGAACCGAAAGTCCGAGCAATGTTGGCAGTGATGGGCAAGGCTTCCTCGACACCGGTGCATACTTCAAATCAAGATTTTGACGCCGCTAAGCGATTGGCAAACTATGCACTGGCGTTGTTGGGCGCTTTCCCATCGAAAGCTCAGACCATTCGCATGTTGTTGCATCAGGGAACTTTCAGTTTCATCAGCGGTAATGATGTATCCATTATTCAGTACTTCTGGACAATCACACGTCGGACAAATATCTTTCAACGAATTTCAGCAAACCACAGAGCGGTGGTGCCATTGTTGAGGGACGCAGCACCCCCTTCGAACCAGATTGGTCAAGCGCCTCCCACACAAGCCGAGGTCGCCAGATGGCGAGATGAATGGAAAATCACTATCCTGTTCTTTGAGCTATACGGATTCATTCTCAAGCTCATGGACGACAGCGAGTTCTTCTCTCTGGGCAGATCTGGCTCATTCAACATAAGTGCCTCCGCGACAACTCTGATTGGACGCAAGGGTGCATTGCCTCTGGATGATGTGACCACTATGCTCACATTTCTCAAGAACTTTGCTTTTTCAGTCTACTGGTATGCCGCAGATCTCGTCGAAGCCAATGAAGTCGAAGAACCCGCCGATATTAGTGTGCTGTTTGGGAAGCCAGTTCCTGTTGTGTCACAACCAAAGTCGACCGTCAAGCAACCAGAGAACTTGACAGGAAATGGCCTTTCTCAAGCATACCTCAAGGGACTTGTCACAGGCCTCCTTCGGCAATTACACGAGATCGATTCGAGACGGGCTTTTGCCAATCCCAACGACTGGCTGATGACCGACCAAGTCAATTTGACTGGCTTTATTTCAGCTGTCGTCAGCGAGGAGGAGAAACGCCATGAGTTGGTTGACGAGGATGATCAAGATGATGAAGCAGGAGATGACGTCGCTGATGATCTTGGCGATCTTAATGATCCGTTCAATTCCAACAGAACCACAAGTCTACTGTCAAGTGTCTTTGGAATCCGTCAACCACATGTGCCGCGGAGTAGGGACTCGCGGCAGACCGAATTCCTGGAACGATGGGCCCAGAAAGCACGGAGAAAGAGACAGATAGAGTCATTGGCCCCTCGACTGGAAATTCTCCGCAACCTGCCATTTTTCATTCCATTCGAAACTAGAGTTCAGATCTTTCGGGAGTTCATTTATCGAGATCAAGTGCGAAGGCGAGGTGGCATTGTCGACCCAGAATCCTGGAGGTTGTCGGTGGGCATGGCCGCGGTCACACAGGGGAGGGGCGTAGATGGACAACCGCTCGGAGACGCTCTCAGTCGCCATCACGCAGAAATTCACCGCGAATCAATTTTCGAGGACGCCCTGGATCAATTCTATGACCTGGGAGAAGCACTGAAAGAACCCATCCAAATCACATTTATTGACAAATTCAACACACCCGAAGCTGGCATTGACGGTGGTGGAGTGACGAAAGAGTTCCTCATGAGTGTCACGAAAGATGCACTTGATCCCAACAACCCTGCCGCCATGTTCTGCGAAACCCCGCAAAAATCCCTCTATCCAAGCCCTCTTCTCTACGATGAATTGGCTAAATATTACGCTTCGGTGGGTCATGCTCCTAGCACCGACGATTCAATGACCAATTGGATGCGGAGGTTCCAATTTATCGGAAGAATCATCGGCAAGTGCTTGTATGAAGGGATCTTGATTGATGTCACCTTCGCAGGCTTCTTTCTTCTCAAGTGGGCGTTGACAGGAGGGTCAACGGTTGGGTCGAATGAATCTGCATATCGCCCTACCATTAACGACCTGCGAGAATACGACGAAGAACTCTACCAGGGTCTTTTGAAGCTGAAGAACTACCCGGGAGATGTCGAGGCTGACTTTGGCCTCGACTTCACCTTGACTGACACCTTGACCATACTCGGAAAAGAGCCCAAAAGATTCGAAACCATCACGACCGAGCTCAAACCCAACGGTGCCAATATTCCGGTTACTAATGCCAACCGTCTCGAATACATCAATCGAGTAGTACAACGAAAACTCGTCGGGCAGCCAAAGACCGTGACAGGCCACTTCCTCGCTGGCCTGGGACAAATTATCCAACCAAGTTGGCTAGCCATGTTCAATCAAAAGGAGCTACAGAAGCTCGTCGGTGGTGACAGTTCGGAACTCGACATTGCCGACTTGCGCAACAATACGCAGTATGGAGGGTTGTATGTGGTTGGTGACGACGGGCAAGAACACCCTACAGTACAACTGTTCTGGAAAGCCTTACAAGACATGGACGACGATGACCGCCGAAAAGTCTTGAAATTTGTCACCAGCACCCCACGCGCTCCACTACTCGGCTTCAGCCACTTGAATCCCAAATTCAGTATCCGCGACTCGAGCGAGGATCAGACTCGGTTGCCCAGCACGAGTACTTGTGTCAACCTGCTCAAGCTGCCTCGATATGGTGATTATAAGACGATGAAGGAGAAACTGTTATACGCTGTCAACTCGGGTGCCGGATTTGATCTTTCTTGATTGACAGGCTGTGGACAGGAGGTGAAGGGCGCAGGGCAAGGGCATACCGTCGACCGGAATGCATAGCTCGGACTGGAAAAGAGGATTTTTGCGGTGGACAATCAAACAATGGTGAGCTGGTTCAAGGGTCGTTGGATGAATAACAATCAAACACTGCATTAGCATGGCGCTACATGAGAAGGTACTTCTTAGACGTGTAGAATCTTTTTGGGTCGAGCCTCTTGAATATCCAGCGACATATTAAATCATATGATACTCTCCTTCCAACCCAGTCTCACGTAGCCTTGGGTATATAGTTTTGTTGATGAAACCATAATTTAGCTTGTGGAAAGTTAGAACTACTAGGTACTTACATAGATTATTGACTAGCCCTTGATTCTATATGCGCGACGACCTCCTTTCGTCTCGGGGCTGTGGCAGATCTTCGCGAAACCTGTAGGAGCTGAAAATGCGGTTGATATCGGAGGACGGAACAACATAATCGCCCGATGACGGATGCCCCCGCAGATTCGTGTCTCTGCTAATTTTCCGGATTTATACCTTATCCCGTATAGATTGCTGGGAGATCTGGGGTTGCTGGTATTTGAATTTGAGAAAGTTGATAAGTAAGCATGATTTTGAACATCTCGGCCGACTACACTAGTGGCCCGCGGACCGATCTCCAATTGGTAAGCTGCTACTGGATATAGTAGTTTTGATAGATGTGAACTGATATCTAGATTTCGTATTCATGTCAGCCTGGCCCGAGGACCTGGGGGCTGAGGGCTAGTATGGATCAGGACAGTAAATATTCGACGGGCCATCTCCGGTAAAATGTATTTCAAATCGAGTCTTTACTATTAACATCCAGGCAGCCCCTCACATGCTTATGACTGTTATTGCTGTCTTTCATCGCACGATCCACACAGTCTTGATAACTGTCAACTGGACTAAGGAGAAAAGAAAGGATTGAGTCAAGTCCGTGGATTTATCTACGCAATCTCGCACCACCCGAACCCAGACCCATCCAGCCATGAGAGAGAAACCCAGGTTGTCGACGGGCGAGTACCTACAGCTGACTTATGCTGTCGGTTTCGGCGGTGCGTATTATGTTTTTGTCACGCTGTCTGGTTATACAATCATGCAATTCTTCCCGGCAAGACACGACACGGGGCGATTACTTCTTGACGAGCGACTAACATCGCGTTCTCGGTACAGCATTCTCTGCTAGCTGGGCAGCTTTGACAGGATGGTCGCGTGGGAGTAATAGACCATCGACTTACGGAAAGCATGTTATTTACAGTGCGACTCGGTCAATATTTCCACGTGTTAGCATCAGAATTGGCCAGGCTCTCAGTGGAACGACAAGAGATCAATACAAGATCTGGGCCACGAAGAATGGCGTAAAGGAGGATCTGGTGGAAATCGACAGCAACGAGGGGATATGGGGTTGTTGGCTGGGGAGGAATGGAGAGGTTAGCGACGGGAGAAATCCAGGCAAAACGTTGCTGTGGTTCCACGGTGGTGGATATGTCGGCGCGGCTGCCGAACCCCATTTTGCCATGCTGTGGGCGTTCATCCGAAAGGCCAAAGCCAGGGGAGATACACTCAGGGTGCTGGTCTTGGAGTATGGTGCGTTTGATATCTCGTTTGAAAGATATCCTTCTGCAAGCATGATTATCTGACCTTTTTTTTGACACAGATCTCGCACCGCATCGAGTATACCCCGCGCAATTGCGACAAGCAACGTTGGCATTGCAATACCTTTTGAGCACCGGCTTGAAAGCATCAGAGGTAAGACAGCTGAGATGAGATTCTTACTCATGTCGTTCACGATTGGACTGACGCGGCCCTGGAATTGGCTCCTTAGATCCTTATCGGCGGTGATTCAGCCGGTGGAAATCTGGCCCTCGGCTTAGTGCTACACCTTTCGCAGCCACATCCGGAAATTTCACCTTTGAGCTTGACCGACAGACTTGCCGGTGCAATCCTCATGTCTCCCTGGGTCAAACTTCAAACCGACTCAAACTCCTATACCAGAAATAGTCACAAAGATGCGCTCAATGTCGACGCAATCCGTAGTTGGGCGGCGAGTTTCTTGGGCAAAAGCACAACCGACAAGTACAACACTCCAGTACAGGCCACTGCGGAGGATTGGAAAGATGTCAAAGTGGAGAAGTTGGTCGTCACTAGTGGCAGCGATGAGTTGTTGGTGGACGATATTCGCACTTTCGTTGACATTCTTCGGAAGGCTCGTCCCGATGTTGAATATCTCGAGGCTGCGGGCGAGGCTCATGACGCCTTGGTGATGGACAGAGCCTTCGGGTTGAAGCATGAATTGCAGTCAGAGAAGTTTCTCTCTGCGTGGCTCATGGCACGGTTGAAGTAAACCGATGGCATTGAAATGAGTAGTGAGAGGACTCGGGATCGTTAGGAGGATTGCATTAGCACATCGCGCGCAAGGAAATCCAGACTTTCATCCACAAGAACAGATAAAGTCTACATTTCCATACCTCTCTATACCAATAGGATCCCTTCCTCTTGTTCCGATATACCATGTCGTCAACTAGACAAGAAACTCCCTTTCGTATCACTAACATCTTCCACAATCTCCTGTTCGCCTACTACAAACTGTTCACAATCCTGAAGCACAAACATCATCCTGGCCCATTCGACCGGCGATGCATTCTCCCAACCATGCATCGTGGCACGCTGAACCACAATATCACCTCGTTGCAGTGTACATCGCTGACCCGAGTCCAGCACCATATCTATTGATCCTTCCAGCACAACGCCATAATCTAAACTCTTTGTACGATGCATGATCGGTTTTCGACCAGGACCAAAATCCACGACTCTGCACACGCTGCCCGAGGGCGTTGTCAAGCCCAACTTTCCATTCGTCACTATCTCTTTGTATTTTCGGATATCCTCTCCATTCCCCAGTTTCGGTGGGAATTCTGTAGTCGCATATGCTACAACGGCAGCGGCATCTTTGGCAGCTGAGCTTTTCCACTGATAAGGTTCTTGTGGTAGAAGGATTGATTGTCCGGTTTTTGAGTCGTGGTCGGTGATGTATCTTTGGATGGGAGGGAGCGGTGAGACTTGTCCGTCACTAGGGGGATGGATGGAGCCCATCTTGTGTTGAGGCGTTTAGCAAGGAAGCGAAATGATTTTCCCCGGACAGGAAGATGGTGCTTTCTTACTTCACGACGTGGAGGAATTCTGCGGAGGACTTTTATTTGCTACCCCTGGTTTCGGGGAATGTCTTGATTTCCCGCACACCTCCTCCTTCACCGAGTTAAATGTCCATCGGTATATCTAGCAGCTTGGAGCCTCCAGGTTACTAAGTGGTTCTCTCTCCCCAAGGTTTCGGGCTGATGAGCAGAATTACGGATCCTTGGGCAGAGTATCGGGCTTAGAGGTTCCCATGATGGTGACTGGAGAACGAGTTCTTTGACTTCCAGTGAAGCCTCCAGTCGATTCAATGATAAGCCTCTTTAGAACCCGTCGTATTCCAAAGAGTATGCGTTTTATTTGCGGCCTTGATTGTCTGATCGAGTGAGCCCGACCCGAAAATCAATGAAACCATCTCCAATATCCTAAATCGACTTTCAATAACCTAGGACGGTAGTTGAACAGTGCTGCTGTGAATTAGCCTGCAATCCCGTATGAAGAATACAATGTATCAAGCATTGTTCCGCTTTATTTCATTACCCGACTCCTCGGCGTTCGAAGAATTTCCCAGTTGGGAAATTACCGATCGGCATTGCGATTCTTCAGCCAATTTCATATCAAAGCCTGCGAAGACCCCAAGGACTACTAGGAACGAATGAGCCGAGTACCCAATTATTAGTTCTGATCAGTATCTGCTTGTGGTGTATCACTGGGACAGGGGTGTTTCTACCGGACCCGAACCCGATGACTTGCCTTGCACCTAAAGCCCTTTCATCGATTGCTCACAGAACTGTCCGGCTCTTTGCTTCTCGAATGCATCATGGTTGAAACTACAGCCACGTTCATTACTCTCGAAGAGCACTGGCTCTCAAAACATGTACAAAACTTCTATTCCAGCCAGGGCGAGCCGGATCCCTATTCCATTCCATCCTTCGCGAGACTCAAGAACATGTTGGAAGATATCGATGATGGTCGGATTACAGATAATGACCGAGGCATGATTCGACTACAGGTACTTTCACACGCCCCGCTTACTATTGCTCTGGACGCTGCGACCTGCATTGCAGCCAACAATGAATTGGCCCAGGCCATCAGCAGCCATCCAGATCGGTACAGGGCATTCGCAATGCTGCCAATGGCGCATCCTATTGAGGCAGCGAAAGAACTAGGACGTACTGTGACGGAATTAGGATTCTTGGGCGCTTTGATCGATAATACGACATCAGGACGATTCTACGACGATGCGAGTTACTGGCCGGTTTTCAGCATGGCACAGGACCTCGATGTCCCGATCTACCTGCACCCCAGCTACAATGCAAATACAAGGGATATTTTATACGAAGGCAACTATCCAACGTCGGTGGCACGATCACTGGCCACAAATGCCTGGGGTTGGCACACCGAATGCGGCACTCACTTTCTTCGACTATATGCAGCCGGTGCCTTCGACCAATTCCCCCGATTACGGCTTGTTCTGGGACATATGGGCGAAATGTTACCATTTCAATTAGACCGAACAATTCACTTTGCTTCTGCGCAGTGGCCAAACTTGCAACGGTCGCTTCGACAGGTATGGGATGAGAATGTTTGGATTACCACGAGCGGGATGTTCTCATTGAGTCCGGCTGCATGTCTTTTGAGGCAATGCAAGCCGGACCGGATCATGTACTCGGTGGACTATCCTTTCGCATCGAATGAGGCTGGATTGAAGTTTATGAAAGACCTGGAAACATCGGGGCTGGTGGATAAAGAGCAATTAGAAGCTATAGCGTATAAGAACGCTGAAGCGTTGTTGAAGATTTGACGCATTGGATTGTATATTAATGATAAACTTTTATGATATGAGGATAAAAATAAATTGTTATTCCAAGCGATGCAAACCTGTTGATTCTAGTCCATTTATTCACAACATTGCTTTATCGCCCTCCATCGAGGAATGGTTCCACGACCGGAAGGAATTCTCACATTCTTCGCCCACGAATAGTCGTGGAGTGTCTCAATGCAATGTTCTCTGCCAAAACCACTCGCTTTTGTACCTCCAAACGGCGTCCCAAGAGCCCTGCGTTGATAATTGTTGATGAAAACAATACCACTCTCAATATCTCGTGCGGCTCGCCACGCGAGAGTGGTGTTCTTAGATTGGATTCCACATATCAGGCCATATTCTGACTCATTAACAATCGAAATCGCTTCCTCATATGTCTCAAACGATGTGACCGTGACCACTGGACCAAAGATTTCCTCCTTGGCGATGCGCATGTTACGCTGAACGTTTGTGAATAATGTCGGAGGAATGAAAAAGCCATTCCTGAGAGCGGGATCCTGTGGCAGCGGTGCCTGAGCTGCAATAATGGCCCCCCCTGACTCTCCAAGACGGATGTAGTCCATGATTTTATCCTTCTGCACTTTGCTGATCACAGGGCCAACATGTGTGTCGGGAGAGAGGCCATTTCCAACCCGCAACTTCTTGACTGCAGCTGCATACCTTGCGACAAATTCGTCATGGATGGATTTATGCACCAATACCCGAGAAGCTGCAGTACATGCTTCCCCTTTATTGTAGAAACCACCTTCCAGGGCGTCGTATACGGCGTCATCAATATTCGCATCCTCAAATACGACGAAAGCGTTCTTCCCACCTAATTCGAGAGTGACCGGTGTAACTCTGTCTAAAGCTGCTCGACCAACCGCAGCTCCTCCGCTGGTCGATCCGGTGAACGACACTTTCCGTACCAGAGAGTTGTTGACCAGGAACTGTCCCAAGGCTATCCCTTTCGCTGGAAGCACATGAATCACATTCGGAGGAAAGACGGTGTTCAGGATATCGACGATCCGAAGTACGGTCAAGGGTGCTTGTTCACTAGGCTTGATGACCACGGTATTCCCACATGCCAAAGCTGGCGCAAGTTTACCGCCCGTGTGAATTGGAGGCCAGTTGAATGGAATGATCGCCAGGACAACTCCGTATGGTTCCCGTACAATCGACGCGTAAACGTTGCCCTGATCGTAGAACTCTGAAGGCAACTTGTCTATCAAGGATCCGAAATACCGGAACACCCCTATCAGAAAGGGAACATCTGCTGCCCGAGCATCCTGGAAAGGCTTTCCGTTTTCAAGTGAGAGGGTGGTCGCCAGCTCGTCGGCGTGTTTTTCGAGTGCGTCTGCCGCTCTGAGAAGAGTCGCTCCTCGTTCGGAGGGGGAGCGTAGCCTCCAGTCGGTTTGAAACGCATGGTGGGCAGACTCAAGAGCTTGTTGTGCTTGTACAGGCCCAACGCCTTGAACATACTTCAGAATATGTCCTGTTGAAGGATTGAACACCTCGAAAAGATCTGAGCTATCCTCTGAGGACCATCGGGTGCGAACGACATCGATCTCAGACCCCATGGTTTGATTGGTGATGTAGGTTAGGGGCAACTTCTGTCCAACACTTTGTATACTCTTTCATAAATATTTGGTGTTAGCGGCATGAGAAGGAGGCGTCTGGGAAAACGCTTGACTTTACAATGACGAACCCAGAGTCCTTGCCATACGAGATACCATCTTGGCGGTTAAACAACAAAATCTGAGCCTCGAAGTGACATACCAACTTTATTCCAGTCGGTGAATTGGAGCCAGAGCCATCAGGATCCAATTCCATTGGCCGATATCCGGTATCGAGTGGCCTCCTCCATTACCCGCATTCACCGGTATATACCGAATATGATCGGGGAATGAAAGCTTTTCGCAAGACTTCGGGGGCCCCACGGGGTTAAGACCTCACGTGTACATGTTTGCTCCATGCTACATAAAATCATCATCCTACGCCCTTCATGGCGAGATCCAGATCCAAGAACCAACTTCAAGTTGCTTGCTTTCCATCGCTTGTTACAAGTGAGGACTCGAGTTAAGCATGGCAACTACCTCGACTCAAGCCCCCGCGGCAACCGGTGTCCTCGATGACAAGATAGACGCTCTGCATTCAGAGGGAGATGCAGCGGTATCTACTCATGAGGACTGGGAACCGAAAGAGGAGAGGACGTTGTTGTAAGTGCGACCATTGAAAATATTAAGAGCCGTGCTGACAAACCTAGGCGTCGACTCGATATGCGAATTATCCCATATCTTTGTGTCGTCTATGGTCTCTCACTACTCGACCGCTCCAATATCTCTGCAGCATATATTGCGGATATGGATGTCGACCTAGAATTGGATGTTGGTAAGTGGGCTCGAAATTCAACAATGCCAGGACACGGCTTACACGATGGGATTGTAGGGTCTCGCTATAATCTCACACTCTTGGTTTTCTTCATCCCATACACCCTCTTGGAACTTCCTTCGAACTTGATCATCCGTCGGTTGGGCGCCAGACCATGGCTAACGACGTTGATTCTGTGCTGGGGCATCGTTGTCTTCGCCATGGGCTTCGTCCAATCATGGATTCCGCTCTTGGTTCTGAGAATGCTTCTTGGTGCCTTTGAAGCCGGAGGTGAGTAAATCCTCTGGCCTGAGTTTCAACGAATCTTGTTGCTAAGACCTTCCATAGTCTTGCCAGGAGCCATTTTCGTGATCTCTGCGTGGTACAAGACATACGAGACTGCGAAGAGAGTTTCCATATTCTATATGTTTGCGCTGCTAGCCAACGGATTCAATGGAATTGTAAGAAGATTTGAACCTCCCCGGTTTGACAGTTGAGATGCTGACTTCTTAGATCTCATATGGTTTGTCCATGATCCGGGCTGGTAACGGCATGTTCACACAGGGTTGGCGTTGGATCTTTATCATCGAGGGTGCTGCCACTATCGTCGCTGGTGCTCTTGGACCATTCTTCCTTGGAGAGTGTGCGTGCCATTCATGAGCATCCAAATGTCAGACAACTGATTGTCTTCTAGTCCCAGAAAGGAGTCGTTGGCTTACCCCAAGAGAGAGACATATCGCCAAGGAGCGTTTGTCGGCACAGCAAGGAGGAAAATCATATGAACATATGACACTGGCCCAGTCTGCAAAAGCTCTTTACGACTGGAAAATCCTTGCATTGTAAGTGCCCAAAATTCTAACCCTGCTCCTCAGGATATGTTCAGGCTAACAACACTTCCACAGCTGCCTCCAACTCTATGTTGCTGCTGGTAGCGTCTACGCTCTCAGTTACTTTATGCCTATCATTCTGCGCAATGATATGGGGTTTTCTTACACCGAGGCACAGCTCATGAGAAGCCCTCCATATGTAGGTCTGGGAAAACTTTGTCCACTGGCTTCATCACTGACATTTTCGTGTTCCAGACTGTCACGGTCTTTCTTAGTGTAGGCAGTGCGTGGCTGTCTGATCGATTGAAGATTCGGTGGCCGTAAGTCTAGTCATCCCTAATTGGATGAAAGCAAAGAGACAAATGCTGACGGGTCAACAGGTTCCTCTGTGCACACGCACTGATCTGGTTCGTTTTAACATAGGAAATACTGCTCGCCTTCCTGCTAACTTCAGTTCAGTACCACTGGCCTACTCATCATGTTATACGCTCAAGTCCCCGGTGCGAGATATTTCGGCACATTTCTCGCTGTGTTTGGAACCCAAGCAAACACGTAAGTGACTTTCGTGTCCTAGTACTCACCCAAGGACGCTGGCTGATGTGGATCTATTCAAAGCCCTGGAACTCTGACATATGGCTCAAATCAAACGGGCGACCCTCGAAAGAAAGGGTTAGTGGCTGGAGCCATGATAACGTTCGCAGCACTCGGTGGTATCACGGGAAGCACCATTTTCAGAAATCAGGACGCTCCCAGATATTTACCTGGCATGTGGTATGTTTTCTTCAAGCTACTGTGACAATAATTGCGGCACTCAGACTAAGGCGGTACAGGACAACCATCTCATTGCAAATTGCCTATGCAATTGGAACCTTCTTCCTGTCAAGACACCTTGCGAAGCAAAATAAGCGAGCTGAAAACGGGGAAATACCGGATACTCTAGAAGGTGTATCGGGGTTCAGATATGCTCCTTGAGTATGGATCGTAGGTTCTTGGACAGATCATGTCTGTCTATTCTCTACGCAACGCCTTTGTTGCAGAGACGGAATTCGCCAAATGTTGCTACGTGTTCATCAGCATGAACTGGCGACTGGACTTCAAAACGAAGATGAAATCAGGCGACTGATTCGAATAAATACAGATAGGGAGATGGTTAACATGACTCTGTCCTCGAAACCAATACTTTTAATCTCAAATTCTTCACTCGGGCTCAACTTTTTTAGTACAGCTCAGATGCAACCCACAGTACAATCACTCCTTACAGAATGGCACTCTAGAAAGTCCGAAAAGACCACTTTCTCTATCCCCCTGAACATTGATATAGTAAGAGATGAATTGTACATTATGCTAGAGCCCACCGAGTAATGTCTATATCAGTTGCTGCTGAAAATCGTCGTCAACCTGGAACTGATTCAGCCAATTGTCAAACGACGACAATTGCTCCGAATTAACGCCGTGTTGGATCAGCGCCGGGTCTAATATGCCATCCCAAGGTTCAATGTCGAAGCCTCGTAATGCATGAGGGTTCGCGCTCTGTGCTACCTCGGTTTCTGAGATCCTGTCGATCAGGCTAGACATGGTTTCTGAAGAATGATTAGCATTTCCTAATCCGAGACTACTTGGACGCAGATTTGACTCTGCAAAGTATGAACTACCTTCATTGGCAAGTCCTCTTGTTGGACCTTGAGGAATGTTCATATCCGTTATCTCAGCATCATGGTCTGCCATGGACCCGCCACTTTGCCAGACTATTTCATTGTGACTGAGAATTGATGCTTGAACACGTCGATTGGTTGGCTTCAGGCCGAGTAGGCTGTCTGAATCCAAGAACCTAGGTTCATCGTCTAGCTCTGGAGGTTCTGTCTCGTGTAAAGAATAAAGAGTTTGGATGTTAATACCCTGCAACGGTTAGATTGTCATGAGAGGTGCCAGAATCGGGAAATTGGCTTACTAGAAGCGCGACGAATTTCCAATATTTCCCCATTTTCTGGATACAACTCAAGTTTGCAGCCACATTAGAGCGTGCAAGAGTGCACACGCTAGGGTTCTTGCACCACAGAAACGGAATTTGGACAGCACAGGCAGAATAGGCGGCGTAGCCGATGAAGCTTGGAATTCTTGCTGCCGGGAATGAAGATTGAAGTATTGCTTTTATGCGTGCCGAGATCGAATTTGCACGCTCAAAAGCCATTTGGGCTGAGACCTGTCGAACAAATTTGAGTTCAGGGCTAGACCTTCCCTGTCATGCAGCAGGCAGCTGCAGACACTCGGAGGAACGCAGAACAACAAGAACAAGGAACAAGGAAAAGACAGTCTCAATGACTGGGAATTGCTAGCTGTAATAGCTATGAAAGTGCTGTAACTGATCTCTGGGTTGCTTGTTGTGAGCAAGAGAGAGAGGAAGAGGAGGAGGAATAGGATATGACGGTGGAGGGGCTCCTGCCGTCAGTATCCTGTCATGTGACGAGTCATGTGACGAGTCACGTGCCGTCGCATGACATTCCCCAGCAGAACAGGGGTACTATGGAAGAATGTAGAGTGCATAGACATTGGTCGTAAATGGTGTGAAGTAACAGGACAAGGTGCTGGTCTTGAGCTAAGGCATCGTTAAGGGAGTCTGGGCTGAACTCTAGATCGGATGGGAGTGATGTGTTCCAGCTTTCGATCCTAGAATTGAGTGACTGGAGTGTATTGAGCTGGAGATCGCCATCTTTGACAGATTGATAAACAGCATTCCTATTCGTTATTAGGGGAAGAAGCAGATTAAAGATACAGGTATCGAAAAGGCATACCAAAGCATCAATATGTGGATGAGGGCGGCAAAGATGGTATTGTGACCAGATTCTGTTGGGGGTGAAAGAGTGTCTTTGCCAAATCGTGACTCAGGGCAAGGTAGTGGAACCTTCGTGAGGCTATCCGAGAGGGTGCTCACAACGAAGTCGGCCTTTGAGCCGAACAGCATGATACAGGCGCAAGCCCAGAATCGCCTCCTTGTGACCTCAGTGCGGAGGCTCGATGTGGTCCCATGTGGACTAGGAGCAGGAACTCCAAGGACATATGCAATCTGAATACCGTTCCCTATCGTAGCAAGTCAGAAGCCAGCCGGGAATCAGGGGTAGGATTTGCGGACGCTTACACTTGTAGATGAAAGCTTTCCGCCATTCACCTTCACTGTACCAGTAAAGAGCAAGATTGATGAAAGTGACAATGTTTTCTTCTTTTGGTTCACCAAGTTCAGTTGCTACCATAGAGCCAGCTATAGAGGCCCATTCTTGACCGAAACCAGATTCGGAGAGCGAGTGATTTCCTGCAGCATCTCGATAGTACCTATTCCTTGAGTAAGCATGTTGAAGATGGATAATGAGGGAAGTTCCCACTTTGAGGCAAAGGCACAGATGCTTAGTACCACGTGAGAGGTGGCAGTCCTCGCGCTTACGGCTTCCACAACGGTATCCTTGTGGAGCAACAAGCGGGCATTGTACACGTGGGAGAAATAGATGTCAACTAGATCGCCGATCAATGAACGTGGTATACCACAGTATCTAGCTTGGAAATCTGGTTGCCTGGGGCTACTCTGTTGCTCTTCTCTATCGGCATATCTTGATTCGACATTGGCGGTTGACGATCTAGGGCTGGACACATAGCCGTACGGCTCAGGCTGTGCGCCCTCATAGGAGCAAATATGCCGGATGCGCTTGCATCTGTCGCAGGTTGGTCGTACACCATTACAGCGGACCTTTTGATTATTGCATCTAAAACAAGATCGTCTTGGTCGGCCAACCATGCTTAGAGATTGGGATGCCAGTAATTTGCAGAGGAGATGTGTGAATGAGGAGCAGTTCAGAGCGCCTAGAGATTGTAGACTAATATGCCGATACTCTCCATATCTTTTGCCGAGACACGGGAAATGGGATAGACCCGCTTTGGGAGGAGAGGTTCAAGTGTGAGAGCCTGTTGTATATCTGGGGATTGGTCACGTGACAAGATCAGATGTTTGATCAAAGCGGCAAGAGGGCACGATAATCATAGGGTGCGGGAAAGGCTATTTGTGGTTAGTGAGAATGCTAGTTCTAAGCACTAGTCTACATATGGGTCGGAGCAGAATGTCATCGTTAAGGCGACCATCTCTAACAATAGGAAAGATCTTCTGCTCCACCAAACAACTGATAATCCTCGTAGGGTTTTGACAATGGAAACTCTGTTTAATCTGGGGTGGGAAGAGATGTGTGGATGAAGATGTGGTAGACTCGGGGCGTGGGCAAGCCATAGGTTATTCAGGTGTCGCCATCCCATGCCAAGTGGAGTCGCGATAACCCTAAATCGTCTCGCTCGTGCCTGCCACCTGTGAGAAGAACCCTTGACACACTCCATCGCACCTGCGCTTTTACAACTCCACCTCCACCACGTCCGTCCCTTCCTAATGCAGCAACAATCAGAGTTCCACATTTCATCCTCGTCCAACTTCAGCTTTCATTCATTCTTCACTTATTCTCCCACCTCCCACTGTCACTCACACGATCACCGATCATTGCTCGGGTTCCGTTCCCTTCATGTCGAATGCGTGGGACTCGCCATCGCACAGGTAGCGGAATCCAGTCCTCCAGCGTGAATGCTTTGTTAAAAGACCCCTCGCTCTCCATCGAGCTCGATACTCTTGACCAACACCACAAATCCACCACCTCCCATAAACCTCAGCCTCTTGCCCATTTCCTCAAACGCATTGCCAAACTCGAAGTTCTTGCAGAGAGAGAAGAGATGAAGTTCTCTCACAGCATCCAGTTTAATGCTGTTCCAGACTGGAGCAGCAACTACATCTCCTACAGTAATCTCAAAAAGCTCATCTACACCCTCGAAAAGCAAATCAACAAAGCCCCCGGCGAACTCGAAGATGAAGAAAATACCTCCCTCCTTGGCGGTCAACTCGACCCTGATACCACCTTCAAGCGCATGCTCGACTCGGAACTCGATAAGGTCTGTTCCTTTTATCGCTTGAAAGAACTCGAGGTCTTTGGCGAACTCGACCAGCTCATCAAAGATGCCGAATCCTACAAAACCGAAACAAGAGATGTTGACATGGACGATGTTATCGACACGGAAAACCGTCGCAAGACAGCCAGATCTCAGAGCATATTCAACGTCCCGTTTCGTCGGAAAAGGAGGACTTCCACAATGAGCGTTAGCATCGAAGAACCTGAAGACGAGGACAGCGATAGCGACGCTGAAGATAGCGCCCATATGATCAAGAAGTCGAGACCTTCGTTGAAGCAGAGGAGCAAGACCGTTTGGACCGGCGCTGAACACACCACCGGCTCCAATGGCGCCTTGTCAGAATCTAGAGAAGACCTTCGTGCCGCCACCGAGACTCCCGCCTTCCTCAGACGAAGACCCAGCCTGGCTTTGGAACTTGAGGCCTCTGATCCCGGTCAAGTCGCCTCCCTCTACGATTCCGGTATAAACCTGAAAAAACGCACTATCAGCTTGTTCGTCTCCCTTAGCGAGCTGAAGTCTTTCATCCAGCTCAACCACACTGGCTTCAAGAAGGCTTCCAAGAAGTACGACAAGGTTTGCAATCGCGATATCCGAAAGAATTACATGGACAAGGTGGTTGGTCCTTCATATCCCTTCCTCCCCTCCACCACACAGCTCTTGGACGAGAACATTACAAAGGTCGAACGAGTCTACGCCGACATTGTCACCAAAGGCGATATCGACCTCGCCCGACGAGAACTGCGACTGCACCTCCGGGAACATGTCGTATGGGAAAGAAATACCGTCTGGCGAGAAATGATTGGAATAGAACGAAAGGCCCAGGCGGCGAACTTTGGTATCCGACAGACTCTTCTCGGCGGTGCTCAAGACCCCTCTCAAGCGCGAAGACAAGGCGACCGCGAAAACATCGATACCAAAGAGATAGCTACCCCGGTCGGTCGATATCGATGCCCCAGGTGGCTGTTCAGCTCCACCTTCTTCGCCCTGTTGGCCATTCTCGCCATCTTCATCGTTCTACTTTTCACCCCCATCCTTAAAAAGCCAGAGCAGCAGAACTGCCTCGCCATGCTGGTCTTTGTATCCCTGCTCTGGGCCACCGAAGTTATTCCTCTCTTCGTCACCTCACTGCTCGTTCCCTTCTTGGTGGTGGTATTGCGCATCATGCGAACAGAAGACAAGCCCCACGAGCGTCTCGACTCCAAGGCCGCCACTAAAGCTGTCTTTGCTGCTATGTGGACTCCCGTCATCATGCTGTTGTTGGGAGGTTTCACCATTGCCGCAGCCTTGTCTAAATACCATATTGCTAAAATGATGGCGACCTTTGTCCTCAGCAAGGCCGGAACGCGAGCTCGGACTGTCTTGATCACCAACATGTTTGTCGGAATGTTTCTGAGCATGTGGATCTCCAATGTGGCGGCTCCAGTCCTATGTTTCAGCATCATTCAACCTATGCTGCGCAACCTTCCAGCTGACAGCAACATGTCCAAAGCTTTGATCTTGGGCATCGCATTGGCGTCCAACATCGGTGGCGCAGCCTCTCCCATTGCATCACCGCAAAATATCATTGCTCTGCAGAACATGAAACCAGGTCCTAGCTGGGGCATCTGGTTTTTCATCGCTCTGCCTGTTTGTATTATCAGTATCGTCTTCATCTGGCTTCTCCTTCTCGTCACCTTCAAGCCTGGCAAAGGCACCACGATCGTTCCTATCCGCCCGATGAAAGACAAGCTGAATGGAGTTCAGTATTTCATCATCTTTGTCACCCTGGCCACCATTGTCCTCTGGTGTACATCGCACCAGCTCGAAAGCGTCTTTGGTGACATGGGCGTTATTGCCATTATCCCCATGGCTCTCTTCTTCGGTACCGGCATTCTGACCAAGGAAGACTTCAACAATTTCCTCTGGACCATCATCATCCTCGCCGCCGGTGGGCTGTCTCTGGGCAAGGCCGTATCGTCATCTGGACTTTTACACACCATTGCCAAGCAGATCACCGATTCGGTCGCTGGTCTTTCTGTCTATGGCGTCCTTGTCGTCTTCGCCGCCTTGATTCTTGTCGTTGCCACATTTATCAGCCACACCGTCGCTGCCTTGATCATCCTTCCTCTTGTTCAGCAAGTTGGGGCTGGAATGCCAGAGCCACATCCTAATCTTCTCGTCATGGGTAGTGCCCTGATGTGTTCGGCTGCGATGGGTCTACCGACATCTGGGTTTCCGAACATGAGTACGTTGGGTCTTTTTACTTCTGCCCCTGTGTTGCCTGCTAACCGTCTCTCTAGCTGCCATCATGATGGAAGTCCCCGAAACCGGCGTTCGATACCTTCAAGTAAAACATTTCTTAACCCGCGGCGTGCCCGCTTCCATTCTAGCGTTCGCCGTCATTGTCACTGTTGGCTACGGACTGATGGTGGCGGCTGGCTTGTAATTGCCAAGTCGGTGGGGACTTGGAACTTGTTCTTCTCAAAGTATGAACATCATGCGATCACATGAGAAGCCAAGATATACGTGCAACTGCCTGACGAGTCCACTGTATTTAAGCGTCATTTGTTACGACCTGTTGGATGCGTTCTTACTTTGTTGTTTATTAACCTGTTGGAGAGTACATAGACAGACGGGAGAGTCTGCGTTGAAGCAAAGTAAGCAAAAGCTTGCTTCTGGGAGTTCCCGGCAAGGTGGGAACTGGTCTATCCGGGTGGTGGTATGAGATAGTACAGTTTTGGTGTCGCTGAGCGGCCATGAAGACCTGGTGCCATATCATGGACTATTTTTCGGTCCATTTGTTTTAGAACCAGACGTTGTCTGTTAGCGGATTGGCGGTATTGAAAATGTCTCTGCTTTGCGAAGCATCTTTTCTGGTATTTTGAATGCTCAATCCAGCATTTTGATCTCTCGATACCTGCTTTTTCAGGACTTGTCGTCGTAGTCGCAGCATTACAGCCGCATGCAGATAGCCACGGTTACTGACACTTGTATTCCGCCGTGGACTTTGAAGACAGTTACCAACAGAAACTGGCATCAAATCATACCCCTTCAATCAGGGGAGGTTGTGCTTTCAGCTCTGCTCTCTTGAGACTGATTCCGATTCTTCTGCCTCCTCACATAAAAATACCTCCCGATCCTCCTCCCCTTCTCGGTTTCATCTTCTGTACTGAGATCAAACGGATCCTCCATAATTTGCGAAGGCATCGGCTCCGCTGGGTCGTCGACGGTATAAAATATCCTTAATTGCGGACCCTTCATCATTTCCGGCGGCAACGGCTCCGCTGGGTCGTAGAAGATATGACCTTCCTCTATGTGCGGATCCTCCTTCATGTCCGACCTCAACGGCTCCGGCTCCGCTTCCGCTGGGTGGTCGTCGACGGTATGATCTTGATCTTTCATTATTTGCGAATCATCCATAATGTGCTCCGTCAACGGCTCCGCTGGGTCATCGACCATGTCATCCTTGTTTACATCATTCGGCACAACCTCTTTCCTTCGTCGAATAGTTCCATTTTCTCCCACATGTTCCTCCATTTGAAAGTACGGTTCTAACGTTTCCTCTGTGATGGTATTATTCCAAATCCCATCAACTGTCTCATCGCGGATTGCGACCAATGGTTCTACACCGGTGGTATCGACTTTTTGAATCTCTTTGACGAAATGGATTTGTTGCCGTAATGTATTCAACATGTCTTGTTCTTCAGCTGCGTCTTTGGGAGGTGGGAGGGCGGATAATTTGAGGAGATGGCGTAGTTTTTCGGGAGTGATTTCCTCTTCTTCGTCTGCTTCGTCTGCGACTTGGTTGTTCTTCTCGTTGGCAAATGTCGGAGCCGCTGTCGCTGAACGTCCAGCAACAGCAACAGCAGCACTTCCATCCCTCCCCCGTCCTTTCGGCGCAAGCAACGACCCAACTGACCACGTCGGTTTTGCCAACAAGGCCTGAATCTGAGGATTGATGGCAATTCGTGGTGCTGACTGCCGGAATGCTTGCCCCCGACCCATATGATGCTTGACATATCGGATCCGCATCTCCGGAGACTCCGAGATCTCTGGTCTTATGATTCGAACCGTTCTGGGTTTCTTCCGATAAGGGAAGTGCGGTTTAGCCGTCTGGATTAGCTGGGAGACATCTCGATCGTACAAGTGCGGCGGTCCGACGTATCGAGGCATTTTGGTGGGTGGGCGTTGAGGTTAGGGGAGTATTTGATGGCTTTAGGGAAGGGAAGGCGAGGGAATTGAGGATGCGAGTGGGTGTGTATGTGTATGAGTTGCTGGAGAGGAGGAGGAGGGTAACGCGGAGGATGGGTGTGGTGTGGTTGGCGTGGTTAGGTTGGGTTGTTTTGATTCATGATGCGAGATATCTTTTTGCGATTTGGAGATGAAGTGATGAGGAGATATTGTACGGAAAATCATTGGGTCCGTGATATGATCCACTCTACTTAGTAGTCCCGCCGCTTTTATACTTGCAAGTTCCTCTCAGATATCTATGGTCATAATAATATATTATATTGAGTAATGTTGTAAAGGCTGACACACTTCGGCTTGCCAGGCATAATTAAAGAATATGGAAATAAGTAGATTCACCGGATCTACGGAGATTGGAACACACATCCTATGCAGCCTTGCATGGTGGCATAGGCCAGAACCTGCTCGGTCCGAAAGGTTGGCCGAGAAGGATGGCGGTCATGTTGTGATATAATCACCCCCCCTATGGAAGTACCACTATTTCAAATCTGACCAAGTAAAACGTTCGAGTACTTTGTGTTCTGGCATTCTCGTTTCGATATACACAAACAATGAGTTTCTCCAACAAAGTGATCGTCATCACAGGCGGCGCATCGGGCATTGGCTTAGCCACCACAAAACTTCTAGCCAGCCAGGGCGCCAGAGCCTCAATATGTGACCTTTAACAGGACTCACTCGACGCAGTCAAACCTAAATTCAAAGGTCCGGACACGAGATTCTCGTCATAGCACTAGATGTCCGTGATCGAAGTGCCGTCGAGACCTGGATCAAGAAAATAGTCGAACACTATGGCAAGAAGATCGACGGCGCAGTCAACGCTGCAGGAATAGCAGGGGGAAACTTTCTGATTAATTCGATCGATACAATCACAGACGAAGACTTTGATCTCGTTTGGTCCGTTAATGTCAAAGGAGTTCTCAACTCTCTTCGCGCGGAGATTCCAATTATGAATGACGGTGGTTCCATCGTCAATCTGGCCAGTTTGTCAGGGTTGACTGGAAATCCCAAAATTGCTGCTTACAGTGTTTCGAAACATGGTATTGTGGGATTGTCTAGAGTGGCGACTAAGGAGTTGGGATCGAAAATTCGTGTGAATTGTGTTTGTCCGTAAGTGATTGATCAGATCTCAGGATGAGTATGACAGGGCTGACCAGTGTCGTCTTATGTGTGAGATACAGAGGACCGACCGAAACTCCACTTCTGGCATCCACATCTGAGGTTGATCCGACAGTTGAAGCCATGTATGCGAATTTCGCACCATTGGGACGGATTGGAAAGGCTTCTGAGGTGGCTGAACTTATTATCTGGCTTTTATCAGATGCGGCTTCGTTTGTGAATGGGACATCACAGGTCATTGATGGTGGATTCTATACTCAGTAGGGGGCTGTCTGAATTATATGCTTCAGGTGGAGGAGATGCGGAATTTCATGCTCTCACACCAATGAAATATCCAACTATTTGGCCGTTGAACCAGCTCGAGCAGCCATCTGATTACGAAACATCGTCTCTGCATTCCCTTTATATGCCATTTCCCTCTCATGTTCCGTCTCAAAGACCTTTGGCATATGAGCCTCCATCGCACCAGCAAGTCTTTGAACATATTCTGCCGACGTGAACGGATAATCACTACCGTAAAGGACATGCTCCTTGTCAATAAATTTCATTAGAGCAGGCAATTGATCCGGCCAGGGCGTTCCCGCCATATCGAAATAGAAATTCGTCCTCAACTTCTCCTTGACAAACTCTGGGTTGACAGACTGATCAACCGGGAGATTTGGAATTGCCCGTCCAAACAGCGAGAATCTCTCGATCAGAGGTGCTAAACAACCTCCAGCGTGAGGAATAATATAAGTTATATTTGGATATCGAGCAACGGTTCCAGAGTAGAATAGATTAATCACCGCTCTCGTCGTGTCGAAGAAAAACTCAAAGATCGGATTCGGATATTCGGGGAGTGGGCAGGCAGAGTTGGTCATGGTGCATCCAGACGTCGGATGCATGAAGATAATAGCATGTCGACGGTTGAGCTCAGCCCAGACGGGGTCGAAATCCTTGTGGCCGAGATAGTAGCCGTGTGAATTGGTTTCGACCACGATTCCATCGGCGTTCAACTCGTCAAATGCATAGGTAAGCTCGTCGAGACTTCCTTGAACGTCGGGTAGAGGAAGAGATGCCCAGAGTCCAAATCGGTCGGGATGTTGTTTCTTTGCATCGGCGCCGACTTGATTACATTCGCGACACAGTTTCCTGGCTAATTCATCGTTGCCGCGGACTAGGTGCACGCCAGGTGATGAGATCGATAGGTATGATTTGGTGATGTTCATGTTGTCGGCCATTTTGAGGTGTTCGTCTACACTCCATTCCTAAATTGCTGTGTTAGACGAGTTGGACGCTGGGTTTGGTGTTTTTGTTGGAAGGGGGCGACGAACTGGTAAAAATGGAAATCCATCGGGAGAACCATGTCCATTTGCCTTACACTGTTCACGATAAGTGGCAGGGAGATAGTGACTATGCACATCAATCTTTTCTGGTTGTTTGCTCATTTTGAGCCGGTTGGATTGTATGGTACGTAGCTTTGGTCGTTGAAATAGAAGTGAAATGGTAAAGTGTCTGGCCGTTCTCTTCTTGAGTATCTTGTCAATGTCGACTCATCAGCGTGTATATCGGACACTTCAGCGTCCAGTCATTGGTTCTGGCAGAGAAACCAGGAATTCTTCTGTAAAATCGATTCTTGGTTTATCGACTAAAATGCAAATGCGGGATTCATTGCGGGAAGAGTCTCTGCGGCGGGGCCCCGTGTGCCGAGATGTTAACGGTTTTATTCACAATTGGGCTGATGTCTAATAGCTTACAAATTGTGACGGGTGAGAATCGGAAATAGACACATGAATTATATTACTCGTTATAAGATTGACATAGAATAGGGACTTAATGGTATTCAAGATTCCTGACTATAGGTCATGGGATTGAGAATACGACGGGAAATTTTCAAGATCAAAAAGGGCTGTCTCTATTTACTCTCTTGATTTCTTCTGTATAGAGATGGCATTTGCCAAGTCACCTCGATGATACGAAGACCTAACGATCGATACAGTGTCGTTACACATACTTTCGACACATATCCACAACATGTTTCGCAAATTCCTCTGGATGTGATACATAGGGGAAATGACTCCCTGGCAGAATCCCAACATCCAAACCCTCCTTGGTTCCAATGACAATGTTCTGGAAAAAGGCAGCAGCGGGAGTACTTCCACCAATGGTCCAGTCCACTGGACGTTTATGTAAATCTTCAGACTTGATCGGTGCAGATGCTGGAATGGTACGGGGATAGCCATGAGCCCATCGAACGTAGTTGCGATGGAGTCTGGCGTGAACCTCAGTGCCCAAGGCATCCCATTTTTCAACTCCGCCCGAGAGGTCGCGTGATATGGCAGCCATAGCGGTGGATATGGTTTCTGAGTCCTTGCTAAAAAGGTCATCGAGCCCAGCAGGGTTGACTATGGGAAGTTCGTGAGGCATGGCGTTTCTCACCCGCTCGGGGTATGTAGCACACATAGCAAGCACGGTTGTAGCACCAGAACTGCAGCCCCAGACGGAGGCGACTGGGATGTTTAGTTCTTCGAGGAGAGTGTTGACATATCCTGCTAACTTATGGCCGGTGATGTTGTCGTAGGTCTCTGGAGGTGCATTTTCTGAACGAGACATTCCTGGCATGTCGAATGTGGTGACGCGGAAACCCTGGCTGGCGATGATGGACATGGGGATACTGAACATTTCACACTCGCCGAGACCATCGGGAACAAGGACGATGTCAGGCCCAGTGCCTTCTTGCTCGACGTACCAATTGATACCGTCCTTGGTCTTGACCATCTTTGTTGTGCGAGTAGACGACATGTTGACGGTGTTAAGTGCTACAATTGGCTTTGCTATAGTTTTTGAGGGTGGCGACAGTGTTGGTCTAGATGTTCACAGGTGGTTTCTGAAGCTCAGTCTAACGCTATATTTCGTGGAGGGATGAATAGATGCTCTTTATTTCTCCAGGTCGTGCCAGGGTTGGTGGAAGCGGGAGGCGGGGCGCACCCCCGCAATCCCACTGCATAAGCCTTGGGCGTGAGAGCGAGACAAAAGATCTAACCGCGATGAGGGATGTAATATGAGGGATTTTATGTACAGTTCCGGCTCTATTATCTAGTAGGAAGATAGTGAAGGAGATGATTGTGTTGACAGACCCTGGGCAGTGTGGAACAAAGGCTGAAGAATTTGTGGAGGGGCCAAGGGGCTTCTATACGCTGTGCAGCCTTGCAGCAGAGTTTGGGCGGCAAGGCTGGAACAAGAACGGTAAGGCAGCAAGTTGAGCCACCAAATAGGAATGCGCCTGCGTGGAATAATTAGGATCTCCCTCGCTGTCTTTAACTAAAAGTGCCTAACCGAGTCCCTAAATCTTACTTATGATATACCCATAGAATGCCTGATACTCCCCTAAGCTCGAGCCTATTACATACAAGTTGTCACCTACATAATCCATTCCCCACCTATTCCTCCCTCAGTACCTCCACAACCACTCACCGCCTCCCAAAACGTACAACCTCATCCTATCACATTCCATCTTCCATCCTCCAGGTTCCAGGGTCGCAGTCTTGAATCCGTCTCAGCGAACATCGTCACCACCGACGTGCCAACTTACAATCTGTCCCTTGCGCATCATACAGACAAGACTCTGTTTGTCATCCTGCGATAACCCCATCCACCTCTGACAGCAGCAATTCACTTCTGGCTACCAGTTCTATCCTCCTCTCGACTCCCACTTCGTTCCCCTCACTCATCTTTCACTCCCACCTAAACCCCCTCCATCATGGCCGCCGACCCTCGAGCGTTATTACAAAAGGCTGACAAGGCCGCTCAAGGAGCCACTGGAGGTTTCAGCCTGTTTGGTGGACGCACTGAGAAATGGGAGAATGCTGCAGATCTGTACAACCAAGCTGGTAATGCGTTTCGAATGCAGAAACAAAGTAACCACTACACGCCCCTCCCTTCCTCCATGACAACACAACAACAAGACTGACCCCCCATAATCCAGACTATGAAGCCGGACAAGCCTTTGAAAAGGCGGCCAATATCCAACAAACCAAATTGAACGAACCTGACGACATGGCCAACACTCTCACCGAAGCCTTCAAAGTGTATCGAAAAGACTCTCCCAACGACGCCGCTCGTGTCCTCACCACCGCCATCCATCATTACACGACAAAAGGCAATTTCCGACGAGCAGCCACACATCAACAAAACCTAGCTGAAGTCTACGAGATGGAGATCGGAGACCAGAAGAAAGCTCTAGCCGCATACGAGACAGCGGCAGGGTGGTTCGAGAGCGACAACGCCGAAGCCCTCGCCAATAAACTATTCCTCAAGGTCGCCGACCTAGCCGCCCTGGAAGGCGATTATGCTACGGCAATCGACAAATTGGAATCAGTTGCCAAATCCAGTCTGAATAGTAACCTCATGCGATGGAGCGTGAAAGACTATTTCCTCAAAGCTGGTATCTGCCATCTAGCAGCTGGCGACAATATTGCCACCCGCCGCGCGTTGGACCAGTATCGGGAATTGGATAATTCATTTGCCAGCACAAGAGAAAACATGCTGTTGACGGACTTGGTCCAAGCTGTGGAAGAAGGTGATCAGGAAGGTTTCTCGGATAAATTGTTCCAGTTTGATTCGCTCAGCAAACTCGATAAGTGGAAGACGACTCTGTTGTTGAGAGTTAAGAATAAGATTGAGTCACAAGAGGAGGATTTCTCATAAGGGTAGATGGTTGAGCTATCCCATTCTATTCACTCCGACGGCCAGGCCAACAGTCTGCGTCAGTAGTTAAAGAGAGAGAGGGAGAGAGAGAAGAATGACGATGGTGGAGCCTGGGGTTACTGGCGTTATATGATCCATTGGGTAGACTTCCTACTAGCCATGATGATATCCTGATATCAAGTCAAGGGTAACAACAAAGAACAACATTCGAAGTCGAGTACATGTGAACGAGCTCGAGAGCATCACGAGGCAGCCTTATATCACCGAGCCGACAGAATAAGGACAAGAGACAAGTGGAAGGGGGAAGATATGGATCTTTCCTCCAAATCAATCTCCATGTGATATTCCAGTCAGTCAATCATTCCGCTGGCCAGCTTGGATGAATCATTGATCAAATGAATGCAAGCATATTCATACCCATAGTCATACTCAATCTAAACATCCATCCATCCTCCCGTTCTACCCACAGCTAGTAAGTGCAGTACAATACAATATAATGTATCTTATTCTATCCAGTGTACCTGTGTACCGTTGGCCGCCTGCGCTTTGGCCCATGGGATACCATACTTCTTTTCCATCTTTCTCTCCTCCTTCTTTCTCGTCATCGTCGTGTCTATCGCAAACAACAAACACGAATCGCATCGCAAATGCCAGAAATGCTCCCAATGCTTAGTATTCTCCTCACCCAGATCAATGCCAGTACTAATTACACCAACCACACCATCCAATTTGCAGATACATGATGAGGGCTTTTTGTTTTTTTTCTATCCACCTCTCTCACCGGAATCAACACCATGTAAACACGGGTTTCTTGCTCTTAACCGTCTCCAGCCTCTCGACAATCACTTTCCTCTTATTGGCTTCCATGTCACTGGCGGCAGCATATCCCAAGTCACCCTCGAGATCATCGCCTTCGTAGATCATGGATGGACCAGTTCCCGGACGACCGCTACTGCGTGTCGACATACTACGTTGGCGACGCATGCTTCCACCGGTGTGACTGGACGAGACACCTTTACCACCTGCAACCCCGTTGCCAGCAGCAGCAGTAGCAGCAGAATGACGCATCGATGTAAAGTCAAACGAGAATCGTGATTGTTTGTAATTCTTCATCGAGGGTCGTGAACCATGGTGGGATGTATCGGCGAGACTGTTGCGCGCGTCTTTGGCGTCGAATGATGTGCTGGCTTTGGGTGAGCCAGGTGGGAGATAATGTCGGGAGGTCGGATCTTCAGATTGGGACTGGAAATATGATACCTCTCCTCCGGCTTGCTCTTCGCGTGTAAGGTCAAATCGGTTGGGATTGGGGAGTTCGTGGGTGGGTGAGCCGAGGAGGTCATGGGATGGCTGTTTGGGGGTTGGTGCTGATGCATAAGACGCTCCAATGTCCATCTCTTCTTCCTGGGTTTGTTGTTGTCGTGGTTGGCCCATGCGTGCTTTATGTCGGCTCATCTCTGCGGATGGCACACGCATGGGAATGGCGACGGGTACGTCGACGAGGTCGTCCCATACACAAACTCGCGTGCGTCGAGTTAGCTCCAAGGGACCGTGGTCATGTTGTTTCAACGTTTCTACTACGTTCCATGCCTGTCCTTTCATGACGGCAATTTGTCGGGCAAACATGCTCTCCTTGAAATCGGCATCCTGTGCAAATACACGTCGAAGCGCAAGTTGGGTTTCGCTCCACCAGGCGGTGGATGTCAGTAGAGGGAGGAAATGGTCTCGAGTCTTCTGAGAAAAGGGCTGTCCAATTAGGGAGACAGGAAGGAAGAGCCATCCGAAGGGGAAGCTTCGCCACTGTGAGTGTGTTAGTTATTGATATGATAGAGAAGGACGATACTTGAGGATAACTTACTGCATCAGGGTGTTTCCACGGCCAGGACAGACTGTTGTCGATGGCTCCTAATGATATCGATGGCACTGGGTCGTCTTTGGCGTTGGATGGCGTGCCTGATCTACTCTCCATCGCTTCATACCTTCGATATGGTCTTGAGGTATTGGATTCTGGTCTCGGACTGACTGACACAGGTCGAGGTCCAGGTTCAGGGATTTGTGTGGGCCCCGGCCCGTTACCGTTGGTCTTTGGCGGCTCTGCCACAATGGAAACCTGTTCGAGTTTCCAGTCTATTTTGATCATCCAATTGTCCAACCCGCGATCAGTGTTGCGCATGATATAGTCTAGAATGACGAGTTTCTCCAGCTCTTCTCTAAAGGCTTGCTTCAAAGTCGGTGTCCACTGGAATTTGGGTGTTTGTTCTTGTGGCATCGGTGACGAGATTCGAGGTGGTTCATCTTCGTCGTCTGACTGAGTTCCTCCGGGAATACAGGTCGCCAGAGGCCGTCTTTTTCGTGTGTGTTCGAGATCTGCTCGGAAGTCGGTGTTCAGATCAGGCCAGGGATTCTCGCGTAAGAATATGTTGGCATCTTTGAAGCCCTTCAAGAAGACTTGGAAACTGCCCACTTTGGCAGGGAGACTCTTCTTCCCTCGCCAATTGCTTCGCCGTTCCCAAAAGTCGTAATAGAATGATTTGGAAGAGATCCAAACAATATCGGTGTATGGGACAATGTATGTTCGCAGTTGACTATCGAGGACGTAGGCCGCCGCTTCGGAAACGTAGGACAAATTGGGGATCAAACATGCTCGACCGAAGAAAAAGGGAAATAGGTTGCGATGGATCCATTTTGTCCATTTGGGATTCCTCGAGGCATATGGTTCCTCATCTTTTGGTTTGAAGACGCCAACCACTTTCCCCTCGCTGTTGCGGGCAAAGTAACTCCCCGAACTTCCTTGGGAAATCATCTTGGGATGTGTGCCCAGCTCGATGGCGACATGGACGGATTCGACGACTCGATCAAACTGCTCTGCAGTCATGCGGTCGGTCTGGGCGGCATTATAGGCATATAGATCGTGCGCAGTATAGGGACGGACTCCGGGAGGCGCTTGAAAGACGGAATGATGGATTTCAAGGTGTTCCTCCTCTTGAGTCTTGCCCTTGACCGACGAAATCTTGAACTTGGACGCAATCTCTTCGGCCCATCGTTCTAATCGAGCGTTGATTGCTTTGATGTCCACCCCGGAAGAGTTACTTCTGGTGCGTCTGTTGTGTCTTCCGCGAGGACGGGTTGGTCCAGGGCGCATACCGTCCCTCGGAGCAGGTTGGATGGAGGCATATCTGGTGGTCAGGGGTGTTCGGCTATATTCTTCATCTCCAGAGTCATCTGTCAATGGGCCTTCATCTTCATCGGCCTGTGCCAGTCGTGCATATCCAGAAGCGGCAGGCCTCTGGCGCGACGGCATGATCGGATTGTGACTGGGACAGGGTGTAGACTAGAGCTAGAGATCGTGATCAGAGGAAAGGTGAGACGGGGTCATGTGCCATGATCGATCTGGCTGCAGTGAATTGATCGACAAAGAATGTGTGAAGTCTGAAGGACGATTCTATCGTCCAAGGTCAATACGAGTACGCAATTGAACTGGAACTTGAAAAGTACAGGGTGGAATAAGGTAACTTGTTTGCTAGTATGCGTAAGGATGCGGTTGGTGGTTGTGGTGCCTTGCACAGGGAATGCTTATTCGCAGCCTGCAACGGAAGTCTGGGCTTAAGCGAGAGCCTCGCCGGGGCTTCGGAGGGAGTTTTTTAGGCGTGGGCTCATTGGATCCATGGGGCCGAGGGGCTTATCCGTAAGGGCCGAGGGGCCATAGGGGTCTGGAATTAGGGGCGGGTTAGGTAAGCAGCCACTGGAACGTGCCACTGTGGTTTAATGGATGTATTGGGTTTAGTGGTAGGGTGGACCACTGAGTATCTCGAGTCTGCGGTTCAATTGAATGAGCGTCCCTGTAGCCCGATGCCCCTTCCTCGCCCTAACAACATGCCCACCAGGGATTGTCTGATATCAAGGATCGTAGATTGGCGTCACTTTGAAGAGACATGACGCGCACTACTGACGCCTCCCTCGTCTCTCTAATCGATTTGTTCGTCTGGTAAGATGGCTGACTTCTTGGCTTAATGTTTTAATCCCTTTGAAGTTTAATTGGTTTGGTCATATCCCCGACTTGATAACTGTAGGTAGTATCTGTAGACTGCAGTAGACGATAGATCACACACGTCAAGAGGGGAACTTCAGATTGCCCACGCCTTATCCATTCAACTTGTGTCAGACTTGGACTGTTCCAACTTCCAAGGCTTCAGATATCCTCTTAACCCTTCTTTTCAAGTCCCTGAGTTCGCCAGATTGGCCAGCGCGAGATGTGTCACTTTTAATTTTAAGCATAAACCATTTTGACAGTGCATTGGTTCATGTCAAGCCCCCATCGTAGCGGATCTGACGCCGTCCTAACGTTTCTTGATCCCCACTGTCAATTTCTTCGCCATAGTGCCGTGGTCCACGAGATAATTACCACGTTTGGATCTCAGGGGAACCTAAGATATGTCAAGTAATCGATAGGACTACGGAGAAGACGAGCTGACGATCATGCTTAAAGAGGTTCGGTTGAATGTCTCACCACCTTTGCTTTGCGCGTCATGGAAGGCACGCGGTCAATAATGTGGGCAAGTGCGACCAGGTGACACGCGCTTACAGTTAGAGTTCGCCCAGGCAGGCACGCGCAACCCAACCACAACCTCAAAGAAAGAACTCGATGAACATAAACCACAATTAATTATTCTTCAGATATCTACTGCATCTTCAAAATCCTTGAAGTCTTCAAATCTGCATATCAAATCTAATATACCTGTTCAACGTCTGACACGTCAATGTCAAAGTTCGGGCGCGGCTGGTCCCGCTCAATCAGTTGTCGTGTGCTTGACAAGCCTGATCAAGCGGCAAAAAGGGGCAGCTCGGCCACCAAATACCCACCGGATGAAATTGGCCAATTTCACAGACCATTTCCCCAGATTTGCGAGACCGCCAATCTACAGCCCTCTCCTTATCACAGTAGCGTTTGTTCGCGTTCTCAAGGGACAATGGCCAGACGGTGCTTGAGGAGGAGTGTTGGAATTGCACTGATGGCTATAGAAGGCGAAGGAATGGAAGCATCCCTTTGCGAATTCAGGGTCTCAGATATCAGACCCAACGCTTGCCCACAAACGTCACAATCATCTCTGGATATCAAAAATTCATCTCCAACGACGCGTCCAAGCTTGTGGACACGACGCAATCAGAACAGATCCCGGGTTGACGGGCGGGACCAATCCTGACCTCACTAAGGGTTCTTGATTGACCAAGCGCCCCAGGCCCCCTGACTGAGAGATTGTATTGGACCAAGCAAAAGCCTCGAGGCTCGCATCTATCGATAGACCTTTGTGTGAGCCGTCTCCTCAGTTTCATGCCACTCGTATCGTCGTTGCATTTTGTACCTCGATTCATTCATTAACTTAATCTGTGGCCGTTTTGTGCTGCTGATTGTCGCAACCTCACCGGCCCTTGTCGCTCATTACCTCACGCTCGTTGAATCGCATTGTCCTTTGCCCTCACCCGGCGTCCACTCGTTACCGGCAACATTCCCGTTGAGACCACGTCGAGGTCTCACTTCAACAATCACGGCTTCCGCAGTTGCAGCACCGATCTTTCGAGGTTCGGTCCTCGATCCTCCATATCGACCACCGTCGACACCATTGTATGATTCGAGGTTGGAAGAATACAGCAGTTCAAGAAGAAGTCAGTATCGGGGGGTATCACCGTTGCCACCAACGGCAGTCTTTGGCAAAGATATATCACGGCCGTCATCGACCAACCTTCCAAGTACCGGCAGTTTATTTCTCAACCAACCTCAATTCCATACACGCAGTGCCAGCGTTGGTCTTGGCGAACGAGAATATCATTCTGAGCCCAGACCTGCATTACCAGCACTGTCATCGTTGACTTCTCTGGCCGCCACGCCCCCGTCTCTGAGGTATGACCTGGGTTGAATTTTCATTGGAAACATGGGGTGTTCTGACATGGTTACAGGGCATTTGGGAACTATGGCTCGTCACCTTTGGGATTGCCTGGCATGATGCCACCGATTCCGACACCGGGAATTGCTGGAAGCGCACCGGTACGTTGAAACTGATAAAGCTATGGACGTGCATAATTGCACTTGCACAATTGTGCCCAATGGTGCAACCAACAAGCAACGTGACTTTGCCAAGAGTTGGATTGCAACGTCAGCCACTGGATTGGAGGACAATGCACCTTTGGACGTTGGTTGCACCTGCCTGCACTTGCCAGCACTTTGCGCCTGCACCTGCACCTGCCACCTTCTCTCTCCCCTATTCCTTCCCTCCGTCCACTGTTCACTCCACCCACTCAACCTCAAGTCATGTGCCTCTTCCGCATTTTCTTTCCCCTACACCGTCCCGGATTCCCACCCAGTATCACCAGCACCAAATCATCCTCCACCAATTCCCACCTCCTCCCAGCTCCCTGTGCTCCCCCATCCAAGCCCCTCGGCCCCCGAAAAACCCACATCTTCTTATCCGTCCACCCCCCTCACCCTCCCTTGGGCACCGGAAATCCCCTCGACTCGACTTTTGAGTCTTGGTCTTGGGCTTTTCTTTATCTGATTTCTTATCGTTCATCTCCATCTCTCCGCCGTCACTCAAATCCTTCTATCACTGCACCCCCTCCATACCATGGCCGCCTCATTACCTGGTCCTATTGCTGACCAGCATTTACCATTTTCACAGCCGGTGTGCCAGAATTGTCAGACCTCGACTACGCCGTTATGGAGGAGAGACGAAGCTGGGTCGGTGCTATGCAACGCCTGCGGACTTTTTCTCAAGTTGCACGGCCGCCCGCGCCCAATCAGTTTGAAAACAGATGTGATCAAAAGTCGCAACCGAGTCAAGACTGGCAACCAAGGACCTAAGAAGAAGGTATGTTTTGTTCTTTGATTATTGCGCAGTCAAGATGCCGCTGGTGGTGCGTGGCCCGCCTGAACATCTCGGCGGTCACTCTGCCGTCGTTACTCTCGTTGCCGTTGCCGTTGCCGCCAGCGCATGCTGACCCTGGCGCAGTTTGAGCAGAATGGTCTCCCCGCTTCACAGTCCGAAATGCCCACTCTCAATGGCATCAATCCCCATCGACGTGTCTCACAAATGGCCACTTCAGTTACCTCGGAGCGGTCTCGTTCTCCCGTGTCGCGCACAGGTACTCCAGGTATTCATGACCCCAACATTGCTCCTCAGCATGTCTTTGATGGTGTGGGCATGTCGGAGCATTTCAACGGCTCGCCCTCTCTCCCTGCACTTCCTCTCACCAACCACTCACCCTCGGGCGCTGCCCCTGTGCAAGATCGTCACGCCGAGAACCCCATGACTTATGAACAACTGGCCACGGCCAATACCAATTTACGCACTCGAGTATCAGAGCTGGAAGTGATCAATATGGTATATTCAGACAACGAGACCAACCTGCGCACCGAGCTGGACCAGGTGACTCGTGAACGAGATGATCTGAAACGACAAATCCACGAGATGCAAAGGCAATTGATGGAACTTAACGATCGAGACCACCCTTCGAAACGAGCGCGGCTGTCCAACGAACCTTGATCATGAACATGAGTTGTTCACGGCGACCTCACATTCCTCAGTGATACCCCAACACGACGAATTTTCTTTTGTTTCTGCTCGGTCTGGATGTGCCACTGGTGCGGGTGCTACTGCTGGTGATGAAGATGAGTTAAAGGCGTAATATATAATATCAGCACGGCAGGCGTTGAGTGTGACAGGGAAAAAAAGACAATGTCTGTATATCCATGTTTGTTTCTGTCGGTGCCGGTGTCTCTTGCTGTCACGCGACTGATGGACTGGACATTTGGATATGGGCACACGGTTGCACAAGCACAAGAACAAGTGATAGATGGCCACATTTGGCTGATTAGGACATGACCTGGATTACGATTCATTCATGCATGCCAGGACTGGATTGATACGGGACTGGTCGATGAGAGAATTTGGGTTGATAAATCAAAACTGGTGATGACTTGGGAGGTAGCGTACCCATTGTCGCCAATATTACTATTGAACATCACAAACAGCTCATTATGACATCCGGAGCGTATGTGCCAGTGACTTGTATGACGTTGATCAAGCAGTCTTGAACTTATCTCGAAGTTGGTGGACATTGGCAACCATCGTTGATAAGATAAACGACCCCAGACCCAGACCAAGTTGGAGATTTTTCAGTTGGAGATTACCGGCCCGCGATTACTTACCTAAGGGACCAACCTAGGCATTTATCCCTTGGCTCACTCCCCTTGTCTCTGTTCTCCAGGTGCAACCAGGTACCTATGAGGAAGCTATTGGGAGCCACTCGAAAGCCACGGGGAGTCTCTCCGCCCCCACAACCTCCGTCCCCGCACCTATCGTATATCGTCCTCAGCCTATTACAGCCTAGAAATTGTCACCATCCAGACCATTTTATACGAAGAATCGAAGATTCTGGTACACAAAACTGTCTTGGTCGTAGGAAACGACACGGACGTGTTTCCGTCCTGATCCAAGAGATGGGGTTTCATCAATAAAAGCTCGATGCAACAAAATGAATCTGTAAGTTTACACCCAACACCACAACTCAAACGAGGATCGTTGTTGTCGTGTCGTAGTTGTCGTGTCGTTGGCTGTGACTCCAGTCCATAAGTCTGTGCAAATATCAGGAAGAGTCGAGAGGATACACACCACCTCCTAGGTACTCTCCTTTTACTCATCACTGTGTAAGGTATCCAACCATACGACATCCTCGCCAGCTCTGCAAGTCTCAACCTCAATATGTCGCCCTCAACACCAACCTCATCCATCTACGACACCCTCCCCGTCTCGCCCCTCCACCTCCCCTCGTCTTTCAACTTCGCCACCTCCATCGTCGACCACTGGGCCCGTAAATCCCCCGACTCTGTTGCCCTATACTGGACAAACCAAGACCTCACCCAAAGCCTTAAATTAACCTACTCTCATTTCTCACGCCAATCACAACGGATCGCGCATTTATTGACCACGACACTCGGTCTCCAACAAGGCGAAACATGTATCTTGATCTCATCACGTGTCCCCGCTTGGTGGGAGATTGCCACGGCATGTCTACGATCAGGTATCATCATGTGTCCAGCGACAACATTACTCGTTGATCGAGACATTGAATCCAGGATTCAAGTTTCAAAGGCAGCGGCATTTATTGGTGACGAGGCCGCCGTGGCGAAATGTCAGAAAATCAGGGCCAACTGTCCTGGATTGAGGGTCGTGATGCAAATCGAGGGAACCGTCCCCAGCAACAATACCAACACCAACAAAGTCATCGACTTCCACACTCTCCTCTCCAGCATCCCCCCTTCCACCACCTTCACCACCCCTCCATCCCTGCTAAACTCACCTACATCTCCCGCCCTCACATTCTTCACCTCCGGCACCACGGGCCCCCCAAAACTGGTATTACACACTCAAACCTCCTACCCGCTCGCCCACGCCCTCACGGGAACCCACTGGCTCAATCTCACCTCCTCCCCCCAACAATCCATCTACTGGAACCTCTCTGAACAAGGCTGGGCGAAAGCCGCATGGTCATTCTTCAGCACGTGGAACTGCGGCGCCACATTATTCGTGCACGACGATCGACTTCCCTTCTCTCCTCGCCGGACGTTATCCGTACTGAATAAATTCCCCATCACCACATTATGTGCGCCGCCGACGGTGTATCGACAACTAGTGCTGGACGACGCAAGGAAATTCTTTGCGGATCCCGAGGGTGGGAAACCCAAGGCATTGATGCATTGTTGTGGAGCAGGGGAACCTTTGAATGAAAGTGTGATTACCACGTGGAAGGAAATGACGGGTGGCAAGATTGAGATTTTCGATGCCTATGGTCAGACGGAAACGACGGTCGTGTGTGCGAATCAAAAAGGGAATAGGGTTAAGCCGGGGAGTATGGGGAAGCCGATTCCAGGTGTGCCATTGAAAGTGGTGGATGAAGACGGAGAGGAGACGGGGGATGGAGTCGAAGGGGATATTGCGATTGATGTTACGACGAGAAAGCAAGGGAGAAGAGATGGGTTTTTTGGCTTCTTTGAGGGATATATCGATCGTGAGACAGGGAAGATTGATGATCGTATCAAGACGTTCCCGAATGGGAAGAAATTCTACATCACGGGCGATAGAGCCACCAGGGATAAAGATGGTTATTTCTGGTTTGTGGGAAGAGGTGATGATGTGATTAATTCCAGTGGGTATCGAATAGGTGAGCAGCCCTTCCCTCTTCATCCATCTATCTCTAACAATATTGACTCTCTAGGCCCATTCGAAGTAGAATCGACATTGAAACTCCATCCATCGGTCGTGGAATCCGCCGTTGTGGCTTCACCTGACCCGGCGCGAGATGAAGTCGTCAAGGCATTTGTCGTCTTGACTGATCAGATCTTCCAATCGATCAACTCCGATCAGACTGGTAAGAAACGTGATCAGTTGGTCAAAGAACTACAGGATTTTTGCAAGACGAATGCCGCGCCATATAAATATCCGAGAAAGCTCGAGTTTGTGGCTGCTTCTTTTCTACCAAAGACTATCAGTGGGAAGATTAAACGGGCAGAGTTAAAGGCTCTGGAGAGGAAGAGATATGTTGATGCAAACAAGGCCAAGTTGTAGATTGTTCTAGGGATCTATAGGTTTTTACCTTCCAATCGTCTGAAATTGAGATCTATATTCTTCCTGAAGTTGCCCCCGTCTAGAATGACTCTATGTGATTCAGGGCTATTCTTCCACGCTCTCATGAATCCAGCCAGAGTCTATGGGTCGACACTCATATCGGTATCCCAACAATCTCATCCCCTTCTTTACCATCAGGGACAACATCTCCGTACACAGTAAACGGAATCACCACATCGAATGTCTCACAATCCAGGTTTTCCACCGCAACATTGATAGTCCCTCGTTCATCCTTGATCACCTCTTCAAGCAGTTCTGTCTTGCTTCTTGGCTCCCCATCTTCGCCTTCGTGGAACTTGATTGTACCAAACTCAAAACGTAGACACCAGTCGAGACTCACACCCGTCGTGACAAATGTCGGTGTCCCTGACCCTGGGATGGCAGGCGCAAATGTTGCTCGTTGTGAGAAAAGAACGTTTTCCGACTTTGCCAGATACGTCTTTCTCGTCACCCGGCTGATGGTGGCTGCTGATCGAACCGCCAGCGAAGGACTGACTTTTTCTGACGTCTCCAATGTCGAATGTAATGTGGCGCAAGGGACCTCACTTTCTGAAAAGTCAATCACTGCAGTCACTGTCTCCCCCAGTCGATGAAGAGGTCGATCAATCACTATCACTGCTACTCGCAGCCCGTTTCGAGCAATTTCAAACCGATTCGAACTTGCCTCGCTCTCTCCAAGCTGATTACCCAGATGGATTGCTCGGCTGATGGCTTGCACTGATTTGCGATGATCATGTGCGTCTTGCCCAGTTTGAAAGTCTTCCAATGTTCCACTGCTCGACTGTCGTCTTCGGTGGCGGTCCAGCAATCGATCCACAAACTTGAGAAATTCGATTGTGGATGTCTCGGCTTGCTGTGGACTTGTAATTTGAGCTTCATCCGGTTCATCGGGTGATGAGATAGACTTGGTGGCGGCCAAATCTCGTAAGATGACGTGAGGTTGCATGAGATCATGGCCCAAAATTTCTCCTTCAAGATTCACCCCAGAAAACACTCGTACTGGGACGTTGATCTGGCGTACGGTGTGAGTGTCACGGCTTCCTGGAAGTCCTTGCACACCTATCGTCAAGTTGTATGAAATTTTGATGGCCTTCCCACGATGGCTGGACGGCAATCCATGAGGGAGTGGGTAAGTGAAAGTGTAGCTCTTCTCATCACCCGGTTCGAGGTGGAGGTCAACGAATAGGAGAGATTGTGGGGTAGACAAAAGGGGGACTGCCCTTGAGTTGGTGACGGCGTGCATCTCTTTGACGCTGCTCATGTTATCACCTCCCATCAAAGTGTTTAATGAGTCGCCGATGCTGTTGAAGTTGAAACCACCTAGAAAGCCGCTGGTGGGACGGGGCTTCTTAATTCCAACAACGCCACCACCTGCTTGACCTCCCAGAAATCCCTTGTTCTTGACTTCTTCAAAGTGGGACTGATCAATCAGGGAAGCATCCAAGGTAAATGTGGCACTGAGCTGAGCATACCCCATGAGCAGATTAACCGCTTGGGGTCTTTGTTGAGGTCTGAGGGGCGGTCTTCGAGGGTGCTGCGTGGCTGGATAGTTGAGAGGGGTCCTGATTTCGGACAGAATGGAAGGTTGCTCCGACATGAGAGTTTCCTGTGAGTGGTTGCTGAGTGAGTAGAACTCGCCGCTGCTTCTCTCACTGGCCAGTGGTCTACTGTTGGAGGGTTTGGAAGGGCCAAATCCGGATAGACTAGGATTTTCTGATGGCTGTGGCCGGTGACGTCTGTTCTTTGGCTGTTCGAGGGGAAATTTAAAGTCCGGGGTGGTTTCACGGCTTTTCGACCTCTCTTGGGATGGAGGACTGTGTCTGCCCCTCCCCGGGGGAAGTTGCAATCCTGTTGGAGATAGTCTTCGTTGGCCCTGGTGAAAGGCATCTGTGGTCAGGTCAATAACCGGTGGGGAGTCGCCGTTCACCAAGCATGGAGCATACCGTATTGGTTGCCAGTGGTGTTGGATCGCTGGTGGCTCAACCTCTGCTGCTTGGCCCAACTGCTTGCGGTAGAGTCACCCACCTCACCGGCGATAGGAGAAGTTACAGAAATGATTGAGACCGACCGCTGTTGCTTGGGCCTTGGACTTCTAGACCGATGATCATCGAGGCCAGCTTGAGGAGAGGTGGAAGAGCCCGATGGCCTATGATGTCGGGCAAGATCGGGAGGGATTTCATGTTGTGAAGGTCGAGCGGCGTGGTTTGATCTATGGGGGGCATGGCTTTTGGCTATTTGAGCGGCGATATGGCCGATACTCTCACGGCGACTGCTTTGACGAGGTCGAGTGGCTGGCTCTGACACATTGGCCACGTTTCTGAAGGTGATTGTGCATCGTAATTCCTCCCCAGCGAAAACAGATTGCTCATGGAAGCGGACAAGGACATGAATGTCCGAATGCATGCCCTATGGATGATAGTCGACAGGGCTCTGTGTGTATGTCTGTGTCGACCTGTTGTGAGAGGAGGTCGTTGAGATGGACTGAGCGAGCGTGTTTGTTAGTCGAGGGCGGAGTTCTATGGGGAAGGCGCCGGGTGAACCTCGGCTCCCAAGTGGTGACTTCCTCTCGAGTTTCGTGCTGTGGAGGAAGGAGCATCAATTTGGTAAGAGGAAGGAACAACTCAACACAGAAGTTTTAGTTTGTTGGTTTGGAAGATTGAATATACAAATAGTATAGATAATACAATGAGGCACCAATTAATGGTGGGCGTCCATAACCCTAAAATGCGACAGTGGGGTATAATGCTTTCATCAAGACCTCATAACTGAACATCCATTATTCGTCGAGACAGTCACCCAGCAGCGCTCAATTCTGCCCGTGCTGCCAGCTTTTCAGTCACCCTTCCAAGTCCATTGTTGGCATAATAATCAACTGGGTAGCCATTGCCTTCCTTTTCCCAACCCTCTTGCGCTCCAAGGGCGATCAAAGCCTCATATGGGGTCAGCAAAGGCCGGGGAAAGGCATACCCCCAATCTATACTGAGCCGCGGACATGCAATTTGAACCCAGCAATCCACATCTTCAAACAAGGCCAGTTTGCCGGGGAATATCTCACTCAGCAACAGGTTAACAAAAGGAATACCTTGCTGACGGAGGTGGTTTTCAATCAGAGCCAAGGTATGTGGATTCCCCTGTCGCCCCAGCCCTCCTAGTATCAAGCCCCATCTTTTTGCTTTAGTCGCTGTCTTGATGGCTGTCGATCGCATGTCCAACATTTCGTCATGACCATATGTTTCTCTGGTCAACTTCCTTGAATATGGATCGTATCGATATGCAGGTAGATCAGGATTCGCAATCATCGCCGCTTCAAGGTGAAAACGTCCATCGCCGAGATAGAGAAGGAGGTCGACCTTTTCACGCGGTGTGATTTTGGGAGCGGTACAACCAAGAACTTCACCTTTACTGAGAGGCATGACTTGTGGTACAACCAACTTCAATCCCTCTGCTTCGAGCGCCGGTCGAATCGTGTGCAGGGTCGCATTGAATTGAACCGTACCAACCATGGCAATGGTCTTCCCAGGAGGAATGTTCCGAGATAGTGTGCTTACCAGATGCTTGGTATCAATCGATATATCTACAAAAATGTACAGGGTGGCGATGATTGATGCTGACACCGGTATCAAACAGCTGTGTGCGTAATGGACCAGTAAGTCACATTCCAGAGCTCGCGCAGTATAGTCATCGATGCAGCATGCGCCATATGTGACATCTCCCATGATCAACGTCTCCGTGCCCGGGCAGAACTGGGTCAAAATGTCTGAGATGGTTGTCGCAAACATCAACAGTCCTTCGGGAAATTGCAATGCAACCCGTTTCGCTTCGAGGGTCCTTATGCGGTGGATTGTTTTGGGGATCTCGAAACTATAGTTCAGAGGAAGCAGGCCAATGGCGGCTTGAATATCAGGGTCATCAAGGATATCGGAGGGGACGTGGTTGAGAGCCCTCGGGGTTCGTCGCGGTGCTGCTCTGCGTCAGTATGGCTATCCTAGTCCATCCCAATATGTACACTGACAGGTACGACGAACCTTTCTGCACAAGTGCACTTTGATCTTGATCACTGGCGGTCACGCTTGATCCATTCGTTGCCTGCGCCGCAGCAGAGCGTCGACCGACAAAGCGCCGTTTGGGGGTTCGCGGTGCTGGGTTGCCATCCTCTGGGGCAGACGGGAATGCTCCGGGTACCGACAGCTCGTCATCATCCATGTTGTGGCCAGGTCAGTATGAAGGCGGCCTGGTAAGGTGAGTAATGATGCCCGGTTGAGCGTGGGACATTAGAATAAATTCAAGTGGTGATGGAGTCTCTATGTTGCACCGTACTTGATGCCAAGGGTTGAGAACTCTGTTGCCTCAGGTCCTCAGCCTGCGATTTCCGCCCTTGCCTAATTAGGCAAGGTTGCCTGGCCGCTTCAAGCGAGCCAACCAAAAAATCTCAACCATCTTGAAACGGGAAAACAGACGTAGGACGCCTGCATATGGTAAGACATGGATGAAGATGGCGTAAAATTATGCGGATGTTATCAATATAATGGGAATGTATTTGTTGGCCAACGTCTCGGTAAGAGCTCAGTTAGTTCGAACCGAGAATAATTCCAGACGACCTTGACGAGTTGAAGTCTTTGGTGGTCATGACGCTGCCTTTCAGAGTGAGAGCATTTTTTTGGGCATTCTGACTGCGGAGGGCGTGGAAGACGATGGGATATTTGAGGAAGATCATGTTTAGTGGTCAAAATCACTCGAGATGAGAAAGATGATTGTTGCAAGAAGAGTCCTGTGAATTTTCCCGGAATTTCTCAAGTAAGGGCACGCTCAAATAAAGCACCAACTCTCCGACTCATGAAGAATATCAGAAGGCTCCAGCCTCAAGAATAAAACGAAGTATAACCAGCTCGATCCATAGCCCCTAAGCATCGCCCATATGTGCCAATTACTTATCGACTCCATCACCGAAAGCATGACGAGTTATTTACGTACAAAGTAGGGATATAGAATGTCACAAACTGTCTCAGTGAATAAAAAAGGTGGTCTCCCCAGGTAAAAGGAAACTGAGCTGGTGAAGAGAAAAGAATCCACAATCCGTCTTTCCGTCGAATAAAGATGGTCAAAAGTCGATAAGACATGAGTTGTAATGAATGGAAAATGGTCTCCCAATTGAAAGTCGGGCGAAAAGAAGAGAAAAAGGGAATCAGGAACTGGCCCAGAGCTCTCTTGGAATCCCGTGTTGCCAATTGCCTCGGGGCCATTAGCATGATGAGTCATTCAGAGTGACTGTGGTTCCTGGCAGGCAAACATTGCTCAAAGCATATGTAGCGATTGTTTCCTGAATTTGCGCCACGGATTGAGTTGCAGTAAGCGGTACAAGCAAGTTGTTTCCATACGCCAGGCAGGCCGAACCTAATGAGTTGCAAGTATTGTGGGCTTGGCTAGTGACTTGAGAGGGAAGGCATGGCAATATACCATTAGTGCAGGTGCCGGATGTGATTCCTGCCGATCCGAGAGACTGTAACAGGCAAAAGGAAACATCCACGTTGCATTGTCGCGGTGGCAGAGCTGTGGCAGGGCAAGTGGCGTCTGAGATCTCCAATGTAAAAATATTGACTATGGTGCAGAGCGAGTTGATAGGTCCAAGGAGGCCGAGCTGTTGTTGCAATTCAGAAGTTGTCAGACTGAAACCGTAGGCGATGTTGTTGGCATACGCGACCGACTGGACACCCGGTTGCCCGATAAATGAGTTAGCGAAAGCTTGCATTTGGGCGTTGGAACATCCAAGGACATTGGGGCAGGCCTGGAGATTCACAATCCATGGAAGTACCAGAGCCTCACAGAATTGCACCTGCGCATTACACTGAGAAGCTGCAGTGGTGCTTGTTGCAGCAGCTGACGTGGTTGTTGTGGTAGTAGACAGGGTTGTAGGAACCGTGGTGGTTGTCGCCAGTGTAGTTGTTGGTGGCTCTGGTGTTGTAGTAGTAGTGGACAGGGTTGTAGGAACCGTGGTGGTTGTCGCCAGTGTAGTTGTTGTCGGCTGTGGGGTACTTGTAGATGATAAGGTAGACAACGTCGCCAGGGTTGTGATGCTCGAAGAGCTCGTTGTCGTAGGAGGGTTAGGGCACGTTGGGTCCAGAAGCACAACACTGATTGGGCCTCCTAAGAGGTCGCATACCGGATTGTCCAATTCTCCTAGGTCCACTGCGGCTGATACCTGTTCAGGCGTGAGGCTTAAACCAATGACTTGATTATTACCAACGAGGATAGAAAGGACGTTCGGGTTCAGTC